AGTTATATTAAAAATGTTCAATCAACAAAAACGCTATGCGATCTCTTCTCGGTCTTTGCTCATACTTCTATTTTCCTCTATCTTAAATTCTCCTTTTTCTTCCTTTGTGTTCTCTGACAACCTCAGTCAGCCCTCATCCAATCAAAAGGCACAATATGAAAAAAATCCTTCAAACCTTGTAGGAGGATGGGCATCAAAATTCAAAACAACTGGTGTGACATTGGTTATCTCCGAAAACTCCAAAACAACAAACTTCCAAATGAATGAACATGCTAAAGTTTCGCTGAGGGGTATAAAATATAATGAAAGCATGCTATCCTTCTTCTACAATCCCAAGAAAACAACAAATTTTCCTATAGGGGAAAATTGATGGGGACATCAGTATCGTGGAAGCCTGGAAGGTTTATCAGGAGGCGGGCCGCCGATCTACGACGCACGATCGAGTCTTTGTACTTTTGAGTAATTTATGTTATTTTCTTATTTATGTATTTTTCTATTTTCAGTGTTCATGTATTACTTGTTTTGAAGTTGTAACGCTTTTAAGTGGAGGATGTCGTAGTATTAGCCCCCGGAGGGTAATTGTATATATATTTCTCTTCTTTTTAATATTATTATTATTTAGTCATTTTGTTTTATTTTATTTTTTTAATGAGTATTTATGTGCTCTATCTCATGCTAACATTCTCTCTATCACGTGACAAGTTTCTACTTTTCGTGCATGTTAAATTTTCACCTACAACAAGCAACAATCTTGTTAACAGGGGTACTTTCCTACATAATTTTAACATAAAAAACTCATCTGAAAGGTTTGGTTTATGAAATATGAGAGATTTGAGTACTCTGATGAGAACGAGATGCTATGGGTTGATTTGTTACGAATTTAAATCAGACTTTCATCATTGTCATAAAATTTGATTGCATCATGTTTTCAAATATATAAATTGTCAGCAATATAATTGAGGATTAAATATAAACTTCATAAAATTATAATTAGATTGAATATATGGTATGAAATCAAATGTTGAGTTATTAAAAAAATAAATGATGTCCATGATGTGCGGGAAATTTGATTATGTTGAGAAAAATGTGGCAAAATAGGAATTATAATTGCGGAATGATAGTGTAAAAGGAATGCTCCGAGTGATATCCATAAAAGAAAAGGTGATTGAAAAAACTTAGGTGGTTTGACATGTGAATCCAATGATGGAAATTGTGCATGTTAAATGAGTATATAACATTAGTGCCAAAAGATTTGAAAGAAAAAAGAGATTGACCTAATATTTATATCATATGCATACAAAATAAATAAGTTTAAAACTAAAACAACACTAAAAAAGAAACAAATAAAAAATGAACCTCAAAAAGTTGTCAGAAGGCTAATGAAGATGATGGTTGAAATAGTTATACATTTGATAAGCCCTATCTTGATAACAAAGCTTATTTTAGTATTATTCTTGATAAGAAATTACAAACCGAGGTGACTAAGTCCACAGCTTACACTAAAGCATAAGTCATGTTTCTCCACAGCACTAATCTTAGAAAAATAGATAATTGTCATAGCATATGCCTACAACAACAACAACATAAAGTCTTTATCCCACTGTGTGGGGTCGGCTACATGAATCCTTTTTCTCCATTATGTTATATTAAGAGTTAAATTCACATTTAAATCTAATAAAGAAATGTCATTTCTAATAATTTCTAACCAAGTCTTTTTAGGTCTACCTCTACCTTTCCTAAAATAAGTAAAATCTAATGCATCTACTTTCCTAACCGGTTAATCGAAAGGCTGTTATTTTATGTGACTAAACCATCTAAGACGACTCTCTCTAATCTTATCTTCCACTTGAGCTACTCCAACCTTTTCACGTATATGCTCATTTCATATCTTGTCTCTAAAATAAAGCCACTAATCCGCCTGAGCATCTTCATCTCTGCAACACTTAATATTATACTTCTCTTTTAATGGCCAACATTTTGCACCATAATCATTGCAGGTCTAACCACCATCTTAGGGTTGTCAAAATCGGGTCATGGGTCGGGTTCGGATCCAACCCGAAACTGACCCAGCATAATGAGACAATGATGCCGACGCGAACCGAGGCGAGGAGCAACTTGACCAGACGATGATGCCTACGTGACCAGACGAAGCCGACGAGACTAGACCAGACGATGCCGACGCGACTCGACTCGACCAGAAGACACCGGGTCAACCTGGGTTGGTTGACTCGACCAGAAGACATCGTGCTTGTCGTGTCAACCCGAATCCAACCCGATTTTCCAAATTAGTCAAAATCCCGAACTCGAACCCCACCAATTTTTCAAACGGGTTGACCCTAACCTGAAATGTTCAGGTCTGTTGAGCGGGTTTTCGGGTTGTGTCAAATATCAACATCATCTTATAGAATTTCCCCTTAAGTTTGAGGGGTACTTTTCTATCACACAACAAGCCCGATGTATTCCTCCACTTCAACCATCCAACTTGAATTCTATTAATAATATCCCCATATATTTCACCATCACTCTGAATAATAGACCCAAGATATTGAAAATGCATTCTCTTATTAATGACTTGATCACCCATATTCACAATCGCTCAACTAGATCTATTATTACTAAAATTACACTCAATATATTCAGTCTTAGATCTACTCAAACGAAAGCCTTTAGACTCTAAGGTTGACTTCCATAATTCATGTTTACCTTCAACTCCCTCTCTAGTCTTATCAACAATAAGAATATCATAAGCAAAAAGCATATACCAAGGTACAACCTCTTGCAAATGTCTAGTGAGAAAATCCAAAACTAAAGCAAAAAGATACTGGCCTAAAACTAATCCTTGATGTAATCCAACTGAAATAAGAAAATACTTGGTCAAATCACCTTGTGTTTGAACACAAATAACAGGAGCATACATATCCTTAATGACTTAAATATAAGCATTATTAACCCCTTTCTTTTCTAGAACTCTCCATAGCACTTCTTTTGAAACTTTATCATATGCCTATGATACTATTAAAAAAGACGTTGTAATCCAATAGAGACCAGATTCAAAAAAACAAGCAGCAAAAAGCTGAAATAAAATCTGAAACACTAGATGGAACTTTTAATTGCAAGATACCTGCACTATTTCACTGATGAAGTTTAAACCACCAGGACCAATAAGAGATCCAGCAAGAAGGTAGCCAACAATGACCTTGAGTTTAAGAATCAAGAGAAATAATAGTGTCAGCAAGAAGGAGCTATTAATTTCTGAACAGAAGAAAGGTGAAAAGGAAAATACCAACCGGTTGGCCTAAAAGTGAAAAAGTAACACCACCAACAGCTGCTGAAACAATAACCACCACCAGATCGGAAATTAATCTGTCAAAGCGCATGGTCAAGAATTTGACACTTAACTCCACTACTTAATGTTCAAAACTAAGAAAATTAGTCTCAGAATAATTTTCATAAAAAAACAAAGAATATTATAGGTATATTGGAAAAAAGCTCATGAATAATTAGATAAATATAACAAATGAGAGTACCGAACTCACCTCAGATCTAATTGAAGTACTGGATACTTGGATTTACGGTTTGAAATGACAAATAAGTTATCCTGCCACATATGGAAGACAGGAAAATTTCATAATAAGGTTGAAATTACATCTACATGATAAGCCTTCCAGGAAGATGTCCACCTTTTGGTCGATCAATTGTGTCCCATCAGAATCTTCATTTCCCAATGAAAATACATCTTGAAGTTGAAATGGTTTAACTGCACTGCACGAAGAAAAAAATGCAATAACTAAAAAAGCAATAACTAGAAATAACACATTTTGAAATGGTTTACTTATGATTTATTCATACTTTGTTGATGGGGTGTCATTTTTCTTTGCTTTGTCATGAGTAATCAAAGCAACTGTCTCCACTTTACCCTGAAAAACAGAGAAACACAAAAAGAAAAAAAAGGAAGCACTAGCTTCATAATGAAAAAAATAACAAGGAAAAACACTGAAGGTAAATAAGTAGATTTGCCTAAATTATTTTTGTATGTAAGATGCTCACTAAAAGAAACATTCCAGCACACATAATGCAGGTACACTTTCTAAGATATATCTCATAGGTCTTTCTCCTATGCTATGAAACATTCGCTGATGTAGCCTAAAAAGTGAGTAGAAATGAGAGAGATTTCGAACTATTTTATTCGTAAAATGCAAAAAACATATATGAGAAAATGAATATTCATCCATCTAAAACTATATTTACTTAAAGGGGTGGTTTGGAATAACTTTTATTATTTATTTATTTTCCAGTGTCTTTTTATCTGTTTATTTTATTGCTTAAAATAAAAATACGTTTGATTTATAATACATTTATTAATTTTAAAAACTAAAAATTATATAATTGATACGCCTCCAAAGAATTCATGTGATTAAACATGAATTTTGATATATGAATTGATTATAGATCATTTCAATTCCCTTTTTCAAGCAAACATATAGTTTAAAAAGTCCAGTTCAACACAACAAACTAAACAATACCAAGAGCTAAAGGATCAAAGTCCAAATAGGTCTTCATCAAGCACTAAGAAACATAATTAAAAATTTTTAGAGGCCATCAATTGGCAAATATCCTCCAAATTTTATGTGCGTAAAGTTAAAATGAACTCTCCAATGAAACAAAATTGATGAGCTTAAAATCACTTAATTTTGAGATCTTAAGGCATTGAAATGCCAAAAAAATAGCATGACCAAAAGGCATTTAACTAACCATCCGATAGATGAAGACTTTTAGCATAAACAACTTATAATCCAATACATTTGAGGAAGAATTTTGGTGGAGAGGATTTCTAAATTTAGAAAATTCCATACCTCTAATCATCATTTGGAGCCTTGATCGGTCCTCTTTGGGATTTCGCATATCCAAACATGTTTTGTCTCTATCATTCAATCAATCTTCCCTAAAACTAGGAAGACATTTACCATCGACTACTCCTCAAACCCAACTTTTGACACCAACGCTTATTATTATCGTTAGCCAACACCAATATAAACCATCACTCAATTGTCGCTTCCAAGGTTTAAAAAGGCAAAATAGGGAATTAAGTCATTTTTACTTGGGGAGGCGAGGCATAGGCCTCAAGGCGGATTAAGTTGTAAGCCTCAAAACATAAATAAAGAACCTATACAATTATAAATAATTCAAAAAAGGACAAAAATAAAATAAACAATCAACATATTTACTTAATTCATCATCATAAAGTTATAAACTAGAAATCTCAATATTAAATGTTATTATAACATGAAATTATGAAATGATATTTAAAGTAAACATTCGGTTAGAACTTAAATATGCTACAAGAATGAAGATCCATGAAGGCCTCATACTCACTTTTATATTCTTCAAGAGAGACCTTATATGTGATATTTTTCCTATAATTGGAAGATGTATCATTGTCATCTTTAAAATCTTCTTTAATTATAATATTTTTTTCTTAGCACTTATATTAGTTAATATTACATTAAAAGCATAGTTTAAAATTATGCAATAAAAGGCGCGCCTCTGTGCAATTTAGCCCCCAAGAGCCTCATTGCTTAAGCAATTTTGGGTTTAGGTGAGGCTTACGCCTTAGGGTCCATAAGGCGTGCCTTTGAGGCTTAATTGTGCAATGTTAGGTGAGGCGCACGCCTCATGATGTCGGGTCCCACCAACTTAAGTTTCTAATTAAAAAACTATATTTCCTCTATTCTTTCATTCAGCCTACCGGAACTGAACGGAGGAGTTCTCCGCAAGCCCAGTTCCGCAACATTTCTCCGCTCGGCCTCCCTTCCCGCCGGTGCCGCCTCACGCCGATGAGCTTCTAGTGTCCGGCCGCCCTCTACAACAACTCCACTACCGGTTTTAAGTTTTTTTTTTTTTAATTCAAGGTAAGATTTTTCAAGTTATAGAAAATCTAGGGTTCTTTATTTTTTGAGATTTTTAGTTTGTTTTTGCATTTGTGCATTAGGAAACATGGTTAGAGGCAAGGAAATGTCAAATACGTCATTGCGGCGGGACCCTTCTTAGAAGTACAGCGTACAAGTTGACGTAGGAGGCGGCGAGAAGACATATATGTATATAAAATGCAATTTTTGTGATAAGGTGGTGAAGGGAGTTACCCGCATTAAGGAGCACTTATCTGGCTCACATAACAATGTAACATCTTGTGTGAATGTGTCGGATAAGGTGGAGGAAATTATTGCTTACACGAAGAAAAGTACCATGGCCAAATATTTACAACATGGGCAATTTGATGAAAGGGTCGAACATGGTGCTTACTACGGGAGCGAGAATAGCAAGGATTTTTTCTTCCACTATACACATTAGAGGTACCCGGGGTCCTATGGACCAATATATGATTAATACATGAGAGGATAGAGGAAAAGCACAGATGATGCTTGTGGCTGGTACTAGAGAGGGTCGACGGCAGATTTGCATAGATATTGGCAGATTCTTTTTTGAGAATGTCATTCCATTTAATGTTGCGACATCACTGGCCTACTTCAATATGTTGCGATCTGTAGGATTGTATGAGAGATGGTTGAAGGCACCTTCCATGTACGAGTTGCAAATATGGATTTTAAAGGAGGAGCTGCATAACACAGAGCGAAGTATTGATGAGATTAAAAGGATATGGAGTGAGACTGGTGTTACCATTATGTCAGATGGATGATCTGACATGAAGAGCAGGAGCATGTTTAATATCCTTATAAACAATCCCTATGACACGGTGTTTTTACAATCAGTTGAAGCTTCAAATGAGGTTAAAAAATATTGATTTCATTTTTAATTTATTAGATGGGGTTGTTGAAGAGATCGGGGAGTAATTGGTTGTTCATGTGGTGATTGACAATGTCAGTGCATACAAAGTAGCAGGTCAGATGTTGATGAAGAAGAGGAAACAACTCTATTGGACTCCCTACGCGGCACACTATATTGATCTCATATTGAAGGAACTTTGTGATCTATCTCAACACGAGCGTCATTTCTAAGGCGAAGAAGATCACAAAGTTCATCTACAATCACTTATAGGTCTTAGCCTTAATGAGAAAGTTCTTGAATAAGGAAATCATTCGCCCTGCTACCACTAGGTAAGTCATTACATTAATGCACTGCAAAGCATTTTCAATTTATAATGCAAGTTTATCCTACAGATTTGCCACATCTTATTTGACACTGCAGAGCATGCTGGATGTTAGGCAAACTCTTGAAGCCATGTTTACATCAACACAATGGCTTAATTGTGCATGGGGCAAGAAACCTAAGGGAAAAGAAATACGAAGGTTGACTCTGAATAATAAACTTTGGGAAAGTGTGACATATGTCATATTGAGCACAAGACCCTTAGTACAAGTAATACGATTAGTGGATGCAGAGAAGAAACCAGCCATGGGTTTTATATATAATGCAATGGATGAGGCAAAGGAGTTGATTGCACATAACTTGGGAGGAGATGAGGCCAGTTATAGAGAGATTTGGGATATCATCGATGTGCGGTGGGAGGTTCAGCTACACCGTCATCTACATGCAGCGGCGTATAATCTCAATCCTCAATTTCAATATTCAAAGAGGAAATCCTCAAATCCAGAGGTGAAGCTGGGCTTATACCATTGAATGGAGCGGTTGATACCAGAGCAGGCCGTTAGGGAGCTTGCGGATTTAGAACTTGTTCTATTTCGGAATAGAGAGTGATTTTTTGGTCTGCAAGCAGCAAAATCTACTATTGCCAAACACTCTCCACGCAATCTCATTTTTCGTAAAGTACACCGTCAGTTACATGCATCACACTTTAATATGTTCTAATTATCATTTCTCTTATTGAACATAGTTAAATGATGGATCAAATTTGGTGATTCCACCCCTGAGTATAGAGTTTTACAGTTAGAGTTTTGGGCCTCACTTATTCTTCCTCTAGGTGTGAGCGAAATTAGAGCACATATAGTCAAATGTAAACGAATAGAAGAAATTAACTTTCAACACTCAAAATAAACTCCCTTGTGTATATTATGCACAACAAAAGGTTGAGAGATAAGATGTTGAGGAATAATGGGTTGAAGGATAATGAGTACTCTTTGGTGTGTAATGATATGGCGTCTGATAATGAGTGGCTCATAGATGATGAGATAGATTTTCCATTATCAGACCTGCAGCTAGAGGATCTAAGTGTGAATGTCTTGAGGGGTAAAGTAGATCAAGCGGGCACATCCACTAGTACTGTAGCACAACAAGCAAACAAATGTATCTCAAAATTTCTTATGTGCTATTACATTTTAAATATATGCAATTAACAACACAGTAATCATTCTTATTGAACAGGGAAGAGAAAAGTGGATAACATTGAAAATGATGAAGATTTGATATTCATAGATGCAATTAGAGATGAAGATGCCTCTCTTGAAGACCCAATTAGTGAAGGGACATGATTAGATTTTAGATGTTCTTTCTTATTTATATTTTGGGAGTTTTGACAGACTTATATTTGTGGTTTTCTACTTTGAATTATGCTATGATATGCATAAATTGCATCTATTTTATTATTTTCTACTAATTTCACTTCTCATTTATATACTTTTTATTGTATTATGGACTTTTACTATTATTTACCTGCTAGAATACTTAAATTCTCATTTACGCAATTCTTCGTCTGTGAGGCTTACGCCTCGCCTCACGGACGAAAAATGCCTCGAGGCTATTTACGCAACTTTAAACCTTGATTAAAAGTAATCTAAAGTAAAATAATAAATTAATAATACAATGATGTAATCCATTATACTTAAATTTCCATTTGATTTATTTATACTCCACCCCACTTTGCTTCTTTTTTTAAATGATTGTAAAGTAGAAATTTGTCCCAATTCAATAGAGTATATAATAGAAAATATATTATTATTATTATTATAGTATATATTATATATAATAAAAAAAATTAATAAAATTTTATTCAAATGAGGTAACGCCTCAAAATGCCTCATTTTACAAAAGTCATGGGCTTAACTAGAGCTAGTGAGGCTTAAGCCTCATGACGCTTCTTGTGCACCTCAATTTGAGGAAAAATTATTACATCCGGTGAAAATACTGAGCAATATCGAGCATACCGAGTGTATCGAGCGCGCTGTACCGAGTACGATACCAAGCACTTTAGTGATGTGGCATTTTGTTATTGGTTTCCGGATGCATTCGGTAACCTGACAGAATAATTACTCCAATTTGAGGCGTGCCATGAGGTGTGCGCCTTGAACACTTTTTAAATCATGGTCATAGCCTGCTATCAACTAATACTAAAAAACACAATCGCCATCAAATGTCACCTACCATCGAACGACATTGATGTCCATCGTCACTCTTACACCATCAATCAACATTAACGCTCATTAGCCCCTTTATTGTCATCGACTAACATCAACAACTATCATCAAATGTTTGTTTTTGCCCACCATCGACGAACAAAGACAACTGTTGTGTAACATTTAATATTGTTCATCATCAATAGACGATTGCATTCACAATCTTTAACTACTTTCCAACATTCACCAATACCATTGCAGGAGACAACCACAGCATAATAAGATCGAAGAAGAGTTGACCATTGTAATTTTCAACCCATATAGTGGAATGATTTCAACTAGGCTAGGCTCAATGATTTTTTTACTTTTCAAGTTTGTAACATTTGAAATCATATGTCGATTGTGTTATTGATCATTTATCGATTTGCATAGAATTTTTTTCAATGTTAAGATAATCTAGCTCCAAATAATTTGAAATCATTAGCAGAAAACCACGTTCTATCTACTAGTACAGGACTTAACATTGACATCACCTTTAATGATGAATAGGCACAGCACCTGCAATGACAAATGTTCAATCCAACTCTCACCATTCAAGTCTTCAAGGAACTCTTCCCCCCATCAAGTTCAAAATATTGCCTTTCTACTTCTCGAACAAAAGCGTTTTACTAGCAAAGGTCTCATTGACATATCCCTAAAGGAGCATAGTCATCAAATAGAGGAATCCAAACTTGAGATCCTTCATATTTAGCGCGAACCCCATAAGCCATGACCTTTATTTCAAAATGTTACAAGATTTCACCTTTTGTTGCAACAGATTTAAGACCACCTATTGGAGGATGTATGAGCAACTATTCCCTACCATTAAGCTGAGACTCTGCCTTCACCTTTTCCTCTATTAATGAACATTGACTTCCATGAAAAAGCCAGCTCCACTAACCCACTGCGAAGTAACTCCCACTCTTGCCAATAGTGTCACTCACAAAACCATTAGTGATGAAATCCAACAAATAGTCTGAAAGGACTTCCCAATAGAGGACCAATTTAGTGTATTTGTCAAAACTTTAAGAAGTTTTCTCCCTTCACCAATGAAATCCTATGACAACTTATTCCAGCAAGGTTCAACTGTACAAGTTGACCATTATATCATACTATGATGGCTCCTCTCTTCCTCTTTATTTCTCCTACACAAAGGTCTCCAATGTAGAGTCCTCTAGCAGAATACTGAAGGTAGCAGGTTCCATATCACTAAAATTACCCCATTGTCGCTCTATTCTACTAAGATCCAGCAAAGGAAAGTATCCAGATTATTGTTTTCAACAGTCTCAACTCTCAAGAAAGAATCCTACTGTTGCCTTATTGTATAGTGCAGGAAATAATTTCAGTTGGTTATTTTTCAGCAATCTAAAGCAGAAATCCAGGGACTTATTCAGCAATTATACTTGTTTTCCAATAAAGGAATTGTTAGAAGACTGAATTGGATTGCAGTGTACAACAAGAAGACTAAATTCGAGAGAAGATGTTAATTTAAAGGGCCAAACATTGCTCAAGGTACCTTTAATTTATTGTTTGACAGAATCGATGAAGAAAGCCCAAAAAAATATCTAAGCCAGTTTTTAATTCATTCTATCATCTTATTGTAGACTAGAGCCATAACTTAAGAGATTAGCATCAGAACATGACAGCTTTCCAAGCCAAAATAAGCTTTTCATTATAAATTTTCTTTAGGTTCTGAGAGGAAAGTCACACCTACTTGGTTATCCGCAACTGTACTATTGAAGCTGTTTGCATCGTGACCTGAAAATATGTAATGAAATTACATAAGCATTTCATTAGGAATACAAAACAAAGAACCGTAACAACCTTCTAAATTGTTGCTAATACATAATTTTAAAACTTGCTAACACATAATGACGAATGGTCACCTGAAGAAAGCATAAAGAACTCAATTAGAACACAGCATCTAGTCACCATGATATATAATTCTCATGAAAATGAAGACGGGTGGAATACAGTTAAACATCTTTGGTGACATACTCTTGCATCGAGAGAGATTTAAAAACCCCATGTTTATAACTGAGAAAAAATATTCATGTAGCGGATACCCCGTAGTTGGATAAAGGTTTGATGTTTTTGGTTCTGTTGTTGTTGGTGGTGGTGGTGGTGCTGATGGTGAATTAACACAAGTCAAGTATTTTTTATATAATTAAACTTACGTTGCTTTCAACATACCCATGTCACCCTCACCCTTATGTTTTCTTTACAACATAATCAAGACGATGAGAGAACCAGCCTTATAGGGGATAATACTCCATAAATGCATGGTAAAAAATCATTTAGTTTAATGTGAATTAATTTGCATAATTATTGCATGATTGCAGAACTTAAGTGATGGCTAGCAGCTTATAGTGAAACTACTGAACTTTCATGCAATGCATATCAATGATGGTTGAATAATAAATGATGCATCAAGAAATTTCTTTGAATGGACAAAGAACCGCACCTTCCGGCGAATCGTTCTCGGACGAAAACTCTTTTTCGAGCACGCGATCGAAAATATCAGCGATGCTGCTTTCATTCGACGCTTCGCGCGTCGAAGCCGCCACCAAAGAGCCATAGAATCTCTCCCTCATTTCCAGGTCCGGTCTCGCTCTCACCGGCGCCGGAAACGACATCATTGAGAGGCAGACAACGAAGAACACGATCATCATCCACCGCGTCGGAGAAATCGCAGCGGTACGCGTGCCCATCGATAGGATTGAGAAAGGATGAGCTACGAGCCACTACAGGTCAACGGAGAAGCGAGAATCGGAGCGGAGCATTCCGAGGGAGCGGAGCGCTAGGGTTTCAAATGCTTACGAAGCGGCAGTTGGAGAAATGGAGTTCCGGTCCGTGCCTGTTCCTGGAGTAGGCTGGAGATGGAAGACAAATACAAATAGACAATATAAATATAGAATCTGTGCTTTGTTTCTATCGCAAAAAATTTCACCCGCGGAGACACCTTATATTTGGGATGCGCCACGATGCGTATTGTGCTATAATTGGACACGTGTTGGCATATGAATGAATAGTGGTTGGATTATTTTGCCAATTTTTGCTGTTAGTTTCGTTTTCGGTTGCGGATTTTGTGACGGTGCGATGGGTTGAACCGGAAGCAGCCTTAAATTTTCTTTTTCTTCCAAGTTTCCCTTTTGCAAGTTTTTCTTGATTTATTTTAATCTATCCCATCCAAAAGTAGGCATAACAAATTCATTCTAATAAATTCCAGTCAATGTTAAAACTATATACAACAAAAATTATTTTATAGTTACTCAACTGCAACTTGATTTTCATTCTATTTAATATTTTAATTCACTAGATTCTTGTAGATTTAAATTTAGGGGGATTTACATACATGCCATTTTATTACATCTATATTACATACTTAACATCCAAAAGTTAAATATTACATTCCTAATACCCAAATGCTAATTTTACAACAGAAATACCACTCCGTCTCTTCCTTCTGCATTCTGACCATCGTCCGCCTCTTCGACGATGGCCACCGCTTCCCTCTTATGGCGTTAACTGTTCTTCTGCATGCTTCTCTCCTCAGTTGCTGGCGTGCTCTTTCCGTGAAACACAAACCCTGCTTCTCTGTTCTGTTGTTCTCTCCGCAGCTATTATGGAAAAGCTCTCGATTGATGGATCGGATGACTATTCAATTGATGAGAAATCATTGAAGATTGGATTAGGAGTAAGTCATGTGGCAATTAAGAATGAGGCTGCAGCCTCTAAACCCGACAGAGGCAAAGCTGGAGTTCTGTCCATCCCGATGCGTAAGGAGAGAAGTTATAAGTGCGATGTGAGTTATATAATTTTTTTTTATGATCCTCCCTTCATAAACCTCTCGGGCTTGAATTCCGCAACTTCTTCCCAAATCTCCTTATCCAAAACCATTTTCGCAAAATTGGAAGCAATCCATAGGGACAACGATTCCATCGTCAGTTTCCGATTGGAAACAAAGGCGATTGACGAGGATATTGAAGACTAGCGGCGGCCATCGGTGAAGAGGCTACGATGGTCGGAATGCGGAAGGAAGAGATGAAGTGAAGATGTAGTGGTATTTCTGTTGTAAAATTAACATTTGGGTGGTAAGAATATAATATTTAACTTTTGGGTGTTAAATATATAATATATAAGTAATAAAGTGGCATGTATGTAAATCCCCCTTAAATTTATAATTTACATAGCTCGATATGACTTTAAATTGAATTTATAATAAAATTGATAATTTTATTTAATTATAATATTTTAAGATGGTTAATTATTTTGTATTATTTTGAATATATATTTGAAGATTTATTTTTACTTACACATGTGATTAATCATCTTCTTAAAAATAAAAAACAAAATCACAGTGAGATTAAATAGTGCAGCATGCCACAAATACTGATCTAAATTTTCAAATAATTATTTTCTTAAATATTTTTAGAATATTTAAAAGCAGCTAAATGCAATATAATAAATCATTATGCTGAGTAAAGTAATATAGCATAACAGTTATCCAAAAATTAAAATAATAATATTGAGCAGACTAAAAAATAAAAATTCATATCACAAAACATAACATAATTGTTCCGGATCCCAGTAAAATTTCAAATGATTATGACCCCTTATGACTCATCTTGTGTTTATTGCACTAAAATATGTTTGTAAGCACCGGAACATGAGTTTTTAGCCACCATAACATGCCTTACTAGACTGCCAATCACAGATAAAATATCAAAGAATTATAGCTACTTATATCTTATAGCATACATAATTCAATCGCATAAGCACATATTTCATCACATCATAATAATTAATGAATAATTAAGTTCATATATGAATTGCACTTTTTTCTATAATGATTGGCGACATAAATTTCAACCGAATAACAATGCACAATTTTAAACTATAATTAAATTATCAGAGATTGTATAAAATATCATTTTGAGACTTTAATCGTACTACAACACTAATTTTTATAGTATATATTATTTTTTATTCAATAAAAACTGTGTAAATTCTAAAATACTCGGTGAAAGATTTTTAGAAAATATTCAAAATATTATAAAATCGATCTCTATAACATATAAAAAGTTTCATGATAAAAGTTTTTACATTGCAAAGATATTTTTCGTTTTTTGTTAATGAAAATAAAAATTAAATCTAAAAATTAAAAAATTGATATTTTTTAAATTAAGATAGACATAATATGACATACTTCAATCTGGACAACTTTCCTAACTAGGTTGACGGTTAAAAACAACCCATAGCAACTCAAAAACCCCTCTCTCTCTCTCCAACCCTTCTAGCTGCATTCAACGCTCAAATGAATAAAATAGTGGATTTATTTTTATATCTGAAATGCAGTTAATGGATTAGCGTTGTGCCCCTATTTCATTTTCCAAAAATTCAAGATTACAACACTGAAACGTTACTATTTGGTACATTGACATTATTATTCCACTGCGCTTTTATTTGGTCCGATCACAGGACGCAGCTCTACGTTCGGTCGCCAGTAGAATCGCGCCACGCGTTCTCACTATTTACCACACGCCCTGACAACCCAACCCGGAACGGACACAGGATGGCTCGGTATTTATCAATTTTGCTAGGTATTGCTCGGTATTGCTATGTATTTGTCGATTTTGCTCGGCAATAACCAAATCGAGCAAATACCGACTGATACCGAGTTGTACCGAGCTTTTCTAGAAAAACTCGGTACAACTCGGTATTGCTCGGTATTGGTCTTTACAAAGCGGTATTTCTTATTATTGCTAAGAAATACCGAGCAATATCGAGCAAATACCGAGTAATACCTCGCAATACGCGAACATAGCATTCCCGGGTTCCGGGCTTAGGTCAAGTCGGTCGGCCGCGCGTAAAGAGCAAGAGCACGTGACGACATGTTATTGGCGGACCGAACATAGCTTTACGTCCGGTCAGAGGATCATAATAATTGTTCGGCGCTCAGACACTCCACGCCTAAATGCTCAAAATAGTAAAAAATTTTATTTTTTGCCAAATGCACTCTAAAATCTTAGGACTCATTTTAGAAACACATGCAAATATTTTTTCATATACCCAAACACTCCAACATATATAAATGGATTCAAAACATTATATATATATATATATATATATATATATATATATATATATATATATATATATATATATATTAGAATATGTCAATCCAGATGATGAACATGGAGGCATCATCGTAAGAAACTTTGATGTAAATTAGTAAAATTTGCAAGGTAAATATGAGATTATTGGAATACAACCTAGCAGTTAGCTAGTGTGAATGTAAGTCGGATTGGTATACAAGCCAATCCTTATACAAATATTGCTTGTTTTTTATTTTACTTTTACCTATTTTTTATTATTTATTTTACTTTCAAAATCTTAAAATAATGTGTTTGTATATATATATATATATATATATATTTCATGTGTTTGTATATTCTCTTGTTAATTAGCATTAAAACTATATTAATTGTCTCATTTTATAAAAAAAAATGTTTAAAACCTCAATTCACCCTACTCCCCTTTTGGGGTGACATAGCATCCAATAAAGCCACCATTATCGGACCGCATTATTGGATCGTCACTGTTGGAATTCCCCAACTCAAACTATCATCAAACTACCACCACCCTATTATGGTCCCTAAACACTGTCATTTGACTACAGTCTTCAAACTAGCGTCATTTTACTATTCTGAGCACCATCACTTAATTATAGTATCATAATCGTCGTCACTCAACTACCCTTGTTTGACCGTTGTCTTTCGACCATTGTTGTTTGATTATTATCTCTCAACTACAGTTCCCTAGTCACAATTGCTCAACTATTGATGCATGTTGTTTCTAAAATGTCTAAGCATACGTCATAAGCTTCAACACAAGTTAACTATATTGCTTCCCGTCGCCAACGATGTTAATACAAACTAATGCATATAATATTGATACATACATATTCGACACAAAATACTAATGTTCGTCGTCATCAACATCAACAAAGCACACCATCACCCTAAAAGATAAATACATGTCATTTATGCCAAAGGCTAACTCCACCAACTTTATTGCTCATCGTCACAAATTATATGCATGACATTGCCTATAAGACTAATGCAAACTATTGACATAAATTATTACTCCAAAGCTAACATCAAACAGTATTTTCATACATAAATTATTACTCCAAAGCTAACATCAAGATCTATGACATGTCATTTGCAATTTTTTTTTTTTTAATTTATGCACATGCTAGATATTTGTGTGCTCGTATATATACATGAATTTTTTTTAATCTCTTAAGAAAAAAAAAAGATTTTGATATTATGTCAAAAATAAAATTTTATCTGTGACAGCTAAAAAGTCGCTTTTAATTTTCCCGACAAATAATTTTCATCATAATTGTTAAGGGAAAAATGTTAACCCTCAATTACATGTAATGACATTAATTGTTATTATAAATATTACGGGCTAGAATATTGGCTGCGGTCATGAGCGGAACCAGCTCTAATTTTGAGGGGGACAATTTTAATATAAAAATAATTAAATATTAAAAATATTATGTAATATATATAATATTATGAAAAGTTGTTTTAAATTTTTTTAGCTTTATATTTGATCTAAAAAAAAATAAATTTAGCTTCCAAATGCAAACTAAATGTCTATCAAAAAATTCATTTTTAGCCACACAAAAAAAAATAAAAAAAATTGCAAGAACATGAAACAAATATACATAATTGATATTCTTAATCAAATCCTAGAGATTTTTTATACATAATTGATATTCTTAATAAAATCCTAGAGATTTTTTGTGCACTAATTAACTCACTTTCAAAAGCTAAAATAAAATTATTGCATAGAAAAATGAGCCTTCATTACTACCTATTATCATAGCAATTAAAAAATAGAGAATAAGGATACATAGGGAGAAGATAAAGCAAAAAATGCAATGTATGGTTGAGATGAATCAAGCAATGACAAGTAGGGGTAAAAAAGCTTTTTAGGGGGGCAAAATTGATTTTTTAGGAGGGGCAAAAAGGATTTTTTACTCTCCTTTAAGTTTTTTTTTTTTTTTTGAGGGGGGGCATCCTAAGTTACATAGGGTTCCGCCCTTGGCTGCGGTAAAGTATATAATTTAACGTCTTGACATTGCACAAGTATCCAGCTCACAAACAGAGAGAATAGGAACATTAAAATTTTCATGTGGAAAATCCTAAAGGGAAAAACCACAGAGTCATATCCAGTTGAAATGAATCCGTAAGTGTTTGAATAGATTACAAAATGATTGATTTGTCCTTAAATTTGAGGGAGATCATATTACAATAGTCAGCACTCTGGTAGAAATCTAGTGACGAAAAGGGGCTGAATGGAAGTCCAATGACAATTGGTGGTTGGGCATAAATCCAGCGTTAGTTGGTGGCCGGGTGGAAGTCTGGTGACAGTTGATGGATGGGCAGAAGTCTGGCGAAATTCCAGTGACGGTCAGTGAACAGGTGGTGGTAGAGAAGAAGTATTGTGGCAAAAAAACTCTCATTTATATTTCTTTCCTCTTTTCATTATCTTCCTTTCTTCATCCCCCTCAATGAAGAATGAGGAGTATATTTTTTATTTTTTTGGAATGACATGTCTAGTAAACAAGAAGAAGATCAGATGCATGTTGGGAGTGTTTCGATTGGATGGTCGATATCGATTATCTTGATTGTGTATCGTTTATCAAGTATTTGATGTCTAAATGATATCAAAATCTGGCGATCCTAAACATGTTAGATTCGTCTCGTTGAGTCGCTCGATTTGACTATAAGCACGTCGCATTTAGAGATCGTTTGGTCATCCAATTTATGATTTGAAACTTTCAAATGCGCTTCGGGCCTTCTATTTGGGCTCAGATTGGGTCGAGTTTGGTGTCGTTTGGTTCATCCTTTTTGAGTCATTCAATTCAACTATAAGTTTGTTGAAATCTAAGTTCAAATGGTCTTATATTTAATTTTTGGAAGTTTCCCATTTAAGTTTGTCTCAAGATTCGTGCTTAATCATAAATTTTTTTTTTGGCGATGTATCAATTAATTTCTATAAATTATTTTGCCATAATGTATCAGTTGAATAATGTGTATTATTTATTTATTTGTATGTTGCAATATACTATACTCTATAAGTAGTGAAAAATAAAGCTATTAACTATCGTATATTCGTATTGGTTTTTGGCCCGTTTAAGATTTGTTAATAAAGCTATTAAATATTTTTCGCTTTTTATATTTTTTTTTTTTTAAAAAGCAAAGTTTTTCCCTTTTTTTATCGGAATGATATTTTACAGCTGTGACCGACCAATGCTTTGGTCTGCGCTCGGCAATGCAATTTAAGACCATTAAACTTGCTTTGAGATTTAAAAATTAAATTCATTTTATTTCCGTAATTCGTGTATAAAATTAATGATAATAAAATTTAAATATATTGCACAGTTATAATAATGAATAAATATAAATAAGCCATTAAATAGATATAAATCCTAAATATCTTAGAACAAAAAATAATTAGACACCACTATTCTTATATTATTTTGATAATTAATGTAAATACCATTTGAATAATTTATTAATTAAGAAATTATGAAACTAACTCAATACAATAATTTTTATGTGATTATTAAATCATGAATAATATATATTTTAAATTAATATTTTTTATAAACTATTAATAATATTTTTGCTTAAATATGAGTACCATATAGCTGCAAAAATTCCAAGAGGCTCATTTTGAGTTTTAGAAGCTATGATAACCCATGAGTTTTGAATCAATTAGGAGTTAATAATGCCTTAAATGAATATAAAAATGCATATTTTACTGATTGTTTGAGGGCATATTTCAACTTATGTACCATGTACAAGAATATTTCTCATCCTTGTTAATAATGGAGGTACAAAATAATATCGTACAAAAAAAAAGAGTATAAGATTCGACCCTTAGGCTAAACTAATCAGTTTCTATGATTTACACTTGAACTAGGTGCCCAACAAGTGACGACAATCTTATAGCCGTGAAAAAATAATAGTTGATACTAAAGTCTCGAATAACTGAACCAGATGCAATATTTAAACATTTTAAATGCTACAAATCAAAAGAGTAATACATTGAAAATCCAGTGTTTGAATTATCTTGAACAACTTCAAGAAGTTTTAGGAAACAAAATATTGCTAACAAAAAAAAAACAAAAAAAACGATATATTTTTAAAAAATATGCATTAAATATATATATGTTTTAAAAAAATTCAAACTCTAATCTCAATAATAAAGAGTGAAAGTCCTCCCAAACAACCCATACGAACTACAAAATTATCTAAAATTACATAAGCATGATATCAAAACTAAATTCATAAGAAATTTTTATATTGAAACTCTACCTACGGAAAAAAATCGAATCTTCATCGGTCATTTAGATTCGTGCAAGCATGTTTAATAATATTCATGTTTTTTACGGTTTTTTCTAAATATTCCTGCGTAAGGTTCCGAAGTCCGAACACAACAAGCCAGTTCGTAACCCCCGCCAGCCACAGTTAACCGCAGTTAACCATAAGGTTCTCACCCCCCTACCTTATATGTAACCCGAGTTTTCTTTACCTTACATGCGCTATCTGCAGTTCTGAACCTGAAACCTTCCCTTTATTTTGTCCTGAACCCTACCACCTTCTACTTCCTGTCCGCCTTAATCGCCCCAAGACACTCTGACTACACAGTTACAGAGAGCGAGCGAGCGAGGACAATGGTGAAGAGCAGGATAGCTAGTTTGCTCCTGTTCATGGCGGTGGTGCTCGCTTCGTGGTGGTCGACGGCGATCTGTCACAATATAACGGCGATCCTCGACAACTTCCCTGACTACAGCATTCAAAACGGCTACATGACTTCGACGAAGATCGCCGACGAGGTAAACTCCCGTCAGACCCTAACCTGCCTCGTCCTCCCCAACATCGTCATGTCCGCCCTCGCCGCAGACCACGCCCCTGCCTCGCTCAAAAATGCTCTCCGTCTCCTCGTTCTCCTCGACTACTTCGATTCCCAGAAGCTCCATGACATTGATGGTGGCACCACAATCACCACCACTCTCTTCCAAACCACCGGCGAAGCCATCGGTCAAGAGGGTTTCGTCAACATTACTAATCTCCGCGGCGGTCGCGTCGCATTCGGATCCGCCGTTCCCGGATCGAAACTTACCTCCGATTACACCAAATCCATTCGCCAAATCCCGTACAATATCTCTAAGATCTCCGCTCCGATCATCTTCCCGGGGTTATTTGACGACGGCGCTGCTTCGGATGCAAATCTGACCGCCATTCTCGAGAAGGCTGGATGCAAGATTTTTGCATCGCTTATTTCTTCATCCGGTATGATCAAGATCTTCCAGGTCGCGATGGTCAAGGGGCTTACGCTCTTCGCCCCGACCGATGAGGCGTTCAAGGCGAAAGGAGTTCCTGATCTGAACTCGATGAGTAGCGCCGATCTTGTTACTTTGCTTCAGTATCATGCCGTCGCTTCCTACAATCCGAAAGACTCTCTTAAGACGGTGCATCATCCCATCGCTACTATGGCTTCTGGCGCTGCGGGAAACTATGAGATCACCGTCACAGTTCAGGGGGACGATGTCACGCTTCACACCGGCGTGGATTCTTCCCGCATAGCTCGCACGGTGCTCGACGAAACGCCTGTTTGCATTCTCACCGTTGAAAGCGTTCTCCTGCCCGAGGAGCTATTCGGGAATGCGCCGTCGTTGGAGCCGGCACCTGCGCCAGGAGCGGCTGAGGAGAGCCCGGCTCCGCAGGTGGCTACTCCTGTAATGGCGCCAGCACCGGCTCCGGCTCTTGCGAAAGTGCCGGTGCCGGCGCCAGCAGTGATGTCACCAGCTGATTCGCCGGCATCGGCTCCGGCGGCTGAGTCACCAGATGATGTGGCGGATAAGGAGGACGACAGGTCGACGGCAGCTGTAGCCAAGGTAACTTCATTCTGTATGGTGATGGCTGCGGTGGTGTTAATGTGAGTTGCGGTAGGGTTTAGGGTTTGGTGACGGACCGTTGGAAACAAAATTTTCTTACATTTTTAATTGACGTTAGGCATTATTGATTTTCAGATTTTGTTCTTCGCTTTTTGTTTTTTGTTTTTTGCTTTTTCTTTTTTAGGGACAAAAATCTTTTTTCTTTATTGTTATCGTGTGAGTTTCGTGTCGATTAATGACCTGTGGACGGGTGGTGGTGGTGATGAGGTATGAGGGAGCAGTGTGATTGTTCCCGACATGTATTAAAAATATATATATTTTTTATATAAATATTTTCTTTGATCTGAACTTGGGTAAATTTATATCCAATTTTTTTATATATATCAATGTACACTTTTCTTAATGTACACTTTTTTAATAGAGAAAAAAAAAACAGAGCAAAACTATCTGAACAGAAATTTAAAACTGAAAATATGTGAACTTCATCGTTCATGCACTGTGACGTCGGATAGGACTGGATAAATATTTTACAAATATTTCTCATTTATTGCTCATAAATTTTGAATAGATAGAGGACAGAAGCGCAACAGGGCAAACTTTTTCAAAGTGAACATGAGTTAAATATATTATATTATTTTAAATTTTTATAACCTCTAAAATGAGGACAAACATATCATGTTAAAATAAATTATGCATTAATTTAAAATAGGGGATTTTATCATATTAGTACATATTTCATAAATTTTTTATATTTATATCTTTAGTATTTAAATATTTATATTTTTTAATATAATATTCAAAATTAAGAATTTAAAGATTTTATTATAGGAGTGCATGTGAATTAATGACTAAATATGTTTAAATTAAAAAAAAATGGTAATCATCATGATAATAGTATTTAGTTATAATCAATCATATTATGTGCTGATTGAGATTTTTGATTATCTTTGTATACGTGATGTATGAAGTTATTTAAAAAAAAAAAATTCAAACATATTTGATTAATATTTTGATTTTTATACTTAGAAAAGAGTTTTGAGCATGAAAAGTATAAATCTAAGTCATTTAAATTGGATTGCAATAATATTTAATTCCCTAAAACCATCATTATCATTTTTTTATCTATTAACACATGTAAAATAATTATCAAATTGTTAATCAATAGTTGAATAACAATGCTTTCATAGAATTAAGCATTTATTTTGAAGGCGAGGACTCCAAAAACAATTATTGGTGAATAATTTCCTTAAACTAAAAATAGAATGAACTTATTTCATTCTCAAACAAGGATATTTATTGGAGATGTTTAAGAACATTCACAAGGTTTTCTGCTACTTTTTAATGTACAAATTAAATCTAAGTTGATTTTTAAGCTTTCCAGATTGCTTTCTTCTAGTCCGACATATATAATGGTGGATCAAAAATACATTAGATACTATTATGATCAAAATACTGGCAAGAATGGAGTTCGAAGATATATTTGAAAATACATGATTAATAGAATACTTACTGATACATCCTCAAAAAATTATCCTGATCAGGCACGAATCTCGAGGCAAAATCGAGTTGGAAACTTCTGAGATTGAAATTGGGACCATCCGAACTCCGATTTCAGCAAACGTACAGTCGAACTGAACGTCTCGAGAATACGAACCTAACGACACCAAAATCGACTCAATCTGAGTCCAAATGGGTCCAAATCAAGGGCCCGAAGCATTGTTGGAAGCTTTGAACCACAATTTGGGTAATCAAACAGTTTTCAAACATAACATGTTTATAGTCGAATCAAGCGGCTAGACGAGACAAATCCAACGAGCCCAATATCACAAAATTTCAACTTCATTAAGACCTTCAAACATCTAGCAAATGGTTCATGATAAAGGAATTCAACATCGACCATCCATCCAAACCACTCCCCATTTGCCCTTGATCTGTCACCTATTTACATGTCATGCAACTCTAGGAAATTTATAAATAGAGCCCCCTTTCCTCTTGAAAGTGGACCCCTAAGCCTATGGAGACAAGAGAAAGATTGGATATTGCTCTTTGCCTCCTTGTCTCCTCGACCACCATCAGAATTATGTCGAACCACCACCTGAGGCCCTAAGCTCCGCTGGACCACCACCCGAGGCCCTGAGTTGCGCTGGACCATCACGTGAGGCCTTGAGTTCCGCCGGACCACCATGTGAGGCCCTGAGTTCGGCTGGACCACCACCTGAGGCCCTGAGCTCCGCTGGACCACCACCTGAGGCCCTGAGCTCCGCTAGGTCGAGTTCCATCGGACCACCACATGAGGCCCTGAGCTCCGTCGGACCACCACTTGATGCCCTGATCTTAGCCGGACCACCACCTGATGCCCTGAGCTCCGTTGGACCACCACTTGACGCCCTGATCTTCGCCAGACCATCTCCTGACGTCCTCAGCTCCGTCAGACCATCACCTGACGCCCTAATCTTTGCCTGACCACCGCCTGTTGTCATAAGCTTCGCCGGACCACCGCTTGACACCCTAAGCTCCGCCAGATCATCGCCTGACGTCCTGAGCTCCGTCAGACCACCGCCTGACGCCCTGAGCTCCGCCGGACCACCGCCTGACGCCCTGAGCTCCGCCGGACCACCACCTGAGGTCCTAAGCTCCGCCAGACGACCGCTTGACGCCAAGAGTTTTGTCGGACTGTCACCTAACACCCAGAGTTCTTTCAATCCACCTACGGACACCAAGGTTCTACTAGCTGACACCTGAATTTCCAAGTCACGCCAGACTTCTACCAGACCACCAAGTGACGCCGGACTATCATCCCTATTTGTCATTAGATTTCAACTTTACAGTTGACATTTATAATCTGATCGCCCTCAAGGGCGAGTCAGCCTACTGCAATCTACTCAAATTCTAGTGGAATCATTTTCAACTGGGTCAGACCCCGTGGTTTTTCCCCTTTTTAGGATTTTTCACGTAAAAAATTTTGTGTTCTCTGTGTGTGAGCTGGATATTCATGCAAGCTAAGATGTAGGACTCTAATTCTATCACCGCGTATATTCTAGCCCGCAACACCTACATTTGTGCACTTTATTTTCTTCTCCATGTATACTCCCTCAACACGAGAAATTATTCTATGTGGACACCGGACGATGCGGAGGCCAACCAGAATGAGCCACGTCACTAGGTATCCATCACCAGTACCGAACAAAAAAGTGATGTGGCACATTTAATTAGCCTCCGGATGACATCCGGTGCCCGTATAGAATAATTTATCCCTCAACACATTGTGCAAAGTCAAAATGATTGATAAAATTTATAACTCCGTTGTTTACTTCTGCTACTACTCGTTGTTTGGCATATTAATTATTATGATGCCATTTAGGAAAAAAAATGCTCATTTCATAGTTCAGCTCGGAAAAAATAAAATTTGTGTTAGAATATTTCGATCAATATTTTAATCATGACGGGCTTTAAAATTTTTGGCTTTGTTTTCAGAGGTGCACAGCACAAATTATTTTACATTATACTGTTCTCAAAATAAATTCATCGTAACATTTTTTTTTTCCTTTTAGCCCTAAGAACAGACATGCAATTAACTGCTATGAAGATAAGAATGAAATTTAGTTTCAATATTTACATCAAAGCTCTATTTCAATTGGCAAAAACCCTAGGATTTCATGCAAACAATTACAGGAGCTTGCTGGTCCTACTGCCTTCAACCTCTTTGAATATCATGTCAAAGCTACTGTTAGGGCTGTCAACACTTGGCCCGACCTAAAATCTGTCTTGGATCCGACCCAAAAATTTTGGGTTCAGATCAATCTGTTTGCCATACGGGTCAAGTTTGGGTTTGAGATTTCGACCAGTTTCTAAAACTGGGTCAGGTTCGGGTTGACTCGGAAACCAAAAATCCTCTTACTACGTCCGCCAGCTTGACCGGGGCCGGATTGGAAAACCTTATCCATTTTTAAAATCGGGTTAGGTTAGGGTCAACCTGTTTGGACCCAAGTCAATTCATATTGGACTCAAACTTAAGCCGTTGACCCGTTTTGACACCCCTAGCTAATGTTAGGGCTATTATGAATCTTCATTACTGGATTCTGCTACACCCTTCTTGCACTGTTGTTCGCATCCTTAATAATTTGACTTTTCTGGCAAATGTTGTGCTTCGGTAATCATTATTTCTCTTACAAAGCAATTTACCAATTTCTATTTCATCACATCCCCAAAAATGGACCGAGAAAATTTAAAAATCTCTGAAGATTGCCTGCTTTGCATGACAAATTATGATAGGTGGGCTTAAAGACTAATGATATTCTTATAAAACAAGGGTTAACCATCAACATTCTATGCGTTCTTTGTAGAAATGGGTTGGAGATTAAGCCACATTTCTTTTTTTGAATTCCCCATTTTCCTGATTATGCTTCCATCCATTACTCCTTGTGGGTCATTTTTTCTCCTAGGACGCACCTTTCGCCAAATATGGGATCATGCCAATTTCATTTCCAAGAAAAATTACAGGAAAACATTTTCATTACTATTAATTCAGGTTACAGCTTAACAAATGAAAGGAAAGAAATAATATAATGTTCAAAAGTAGCATTTCCTCCTACATAGAGGTGTCAATAAATAATCTGATCTAACAACTCAACTCAAATCTGACTTGAATAACCTAATCGTATCAGATGAAACAGAAAACATTAAAAACGAATGCTTCAGTCACAAAATTCTTTTATTTGTAAATAATTTAATATGCATAGCAATATGTTTATTATTAGATTAGAACAGTAGAAGGAAAGTGAAGAAGCCGAACAGGCGTGTGGAACATACCTCTTTCACTAACAAAACTAAGTAGATTCCCATATGGTGATGCCATCGCAGGTGCAGATCTTCTTGTAATTCTCTCCTACTCCAGCGCTTCTTGCTATGACTGCAGCTGCAATGCCAGAATCTGATTTGTCTTCCTTCTCATATACCACAATTGAGCGGCCTATGAGATCAGAAACTCTCAGCTTTTCTTTGGAACCGGAGAAGTGAGCTTCCCCATTCTCCGCAACCTCTAGTGTTCCCAGGTCACCCAAGGCCTGCACATCACAAAGGCGATTGTTAAGTTGCCGAGTTTAACTTTTATTCCACGAAGAAAATAAATTACATAAATTTAGTTGCAAAACATTATATTATAGAGTCTAATATTTACCTTGTGTCAAGATGATGTGAATCTACTAGGAGTTACTTGAGAAATTAAAGGAATAATTGATTCAAAATTGTCAATATAAAATTATTTTTTGCAATAAAGGAAGAATTCAAAATTCAAAATATTCAACATGCTTAGGAAAAGGAGCGCCTTGAGATTAACCAAACAATTCAATCAAAATCCAAAGACGAAAGTAAATGCAACATGCTCATAACAAAATCCACCATTTAATAACGAGAGATTCACCTTGAGTACCTTCTCACTCATTCACTCTTAGGCTTTAGCGGAGGAAGACGAACCATACAAGGAAGGAGATTACCACTAGGAAGATGGAGCCGAAAACCTTCGTTGATGGAGAGGTAGCCGACGGTGGAGGAAGTAGTGGATGACCGACGATTATCCAAAGGCCCGGACGGATGTGCTCTTCGATTTATAGTGTTAGTTGGTATAGGATGCGGTCGATGTATCCATCGATAGTCTCATCGTTGCCAAAGTACATGTCAAAGAATGGTGATCCAAGAATATCCGTCCTTCCTTGCTCGTCGAAAGCAAATCCATGGTAGACCTCAGGATCGGCCAAACATGCTTGCCTAGAATGGTGAGGGTAGACAAGGAGGGAAGAGGGGAGGGACGGTTTGGGTGAGGGAGGGATTATGTTAAGTTAGTGAGAAGGGAGAAGAGTTAATTTTAATCAAATCTGAAATTAATTTCAGATTTTAATTGGATTTGGATGGATTAATTTGAAATTTGAATTCAAATTAAGGAGAGAGTGGGGCCTCAATAAGAAGCAATGGGGACAATGAGGGGCCGGCGGCATGGAGAGAGGAGGGATTTGGGGGAGAGTTTTAAGGAGTTTCCAAACAAGGTTTGTAAATTTGAAAAGCTAATAATAAATACAATCTATCTTAAATTTAAATTGGACTCGTAAATAAATACTTTCCTTATTTAGAATTCCATATATGGAAATGATTTGAAATTCGAATTTGAATTTCAAATGAATTCAAATCTTTCCCTTTCTTACTTGAACTAAATTAGGAAGTCATTACGATGATTGGAATCACCATAATGAAGGGGGAAGCAAGGATGGGCAGGCGACAATGGGGTGAGGGGGCAGCTTGGCGTCGGGTTGTACGGGGCTAGGGTTGATCCGGCGGTTGGAGTTTGGAAGGGGATTTTAATTGGACCTCAAAGAGGACTCTTGGATGCGGGGGTGGTGGTGGAGGAGTGAAGGGTAGTCGGCGGTGGAAGACAACGAAAGAAAAGAGGTAAGGAAAAAGACCACGAGCCACGGACTCTTCCAATGACTGGTGGGTGTTGCGTCCGCCCACTCGTTGGGCTCTCTCTCTTCTCTCTAGTGCACTCACAAGAAAATGAGGAAAAAGACAAAGCAAAATTTCATTTCATTCATCCTCTCTTACAATAGATGAGGCCTTAATATATAGACCTAAAATAAAAATAAAGAAAAGACTCAAATGCCCCTTGGGCTACAACTCAAATAAACTCAAGTAAAAAGGTACAATCTGAACTAGCAAATAAATAACATAATACATAAATGCATAAAAAATAAAGACTGTGAATCGTAGCCGTCGATCTACAATTCCTACGCCGATAAATTTGTCGATAATGTCCGTCGATGTCCTCATCACAGGAGCTGTCCAACACGGATTCCCAATATTTGAGGATTACTTCAAGGGCGTTGTTGAGAATTTTAATGTAGATTTTTTTTTTTTAATAAAGAGGAAGCATAGTCTTTTTTATGCTATATCAGAGAAATTAGGGCTGGGCTACAGTGAAATCTGCAACAAGAATAATATGATGTTGCCATCAAGTGGGTAAATCTATATAAATTTTTATTTTGTTTTTTTTTTTATATTGATCTTCCTTTCTATTTTCTATCTTTTGATTTATTCTTTGTGATTGAATCAGATTTCATCTATTTCCCAACAGCAACTACACAATAATGCATAAAAAATAAAGGCTTCGTTTGGGACGGTTTTTTTATTGATTCTTAAAGCAGTTTTCTAGTATCACATTTTTTATTTTTGTATTACAAAACTGGTTTAAGAAGCAGTAAAAAAGCCATCCCAAACAAAACAAAAATCAGCTACGGAAAGATCCATTTGGAATTTTAAATTCTACAATAAGGCAGAACAGAGAAAATTTTCCTCACAAATTGTTGAGCACTACTGCATGAATGCGAGTCTGCACAAGGATATGTACACCACTACTTTTAAATTCTACAAAGAATAACAAAGTTTACCAAAAAGGCAAAAGAATTACTTCAAGAACAATGCAGTTCAGATGTATGCAAAGGTATATAACAAACAAATTGGCAAGCAGTATTTGCCAAAATGTAATTGTGAAATTTTAGATTTAGTAGTTATTCATTGGGCCCTAAAACACTATTGGAGACCGTTATACATAGGGTTTTGGGATGATGAGCATCTAATTACTAAAATATTAGGCTCAAATTTGGGCCTCCAGTGATTCAAAACCTTATTGCAAGTGGTATTTGAGCTAATGATTAGATTGAGATCAACTAATTCATGTAATTTGTTGCCCCCTAAAACTTGATATCTATATCAAGTGGGAGTTTTACATGTAAAGATGAATTAATGTTATACATACTGAGCAAAGAAAATGGCACTGATAAAAGTAGGTATCCACTAGAATGCAAATTAGGGATGTAAAAGCAAGTATTAGTGATGATATATATAAGCTCACCTTATCTTCTGATAAATGATTTGCGGGATTAAATGTTTTCCCCGTGCTTGCTGCACCTCTAGTCAAATCCCCATACTCATTTATGGACCAACCATGCTTACCATGAGACAAACCACTGAAGCTTGCTTCAATTCTTGATAATTCCATGTTCACTTGAGCCAGGCGTACCACCCCAAAGATCTTCGGACCTTTGAACTCAGCAACAGCTGAGGAAACCAAAAAATCTAGAAGAGGGATATAAACGGAAAAACAAAGTGGTTAGACATTATGTAACAATAATAAATTTAAGGCAAATACTATAGAGGGGAAATAGTCATTTGGACTAAAAAGAAACTAGATAACAAGCCCAAAATATGTATAAAATAGTTTAATATGAGATAAACTTACAAGCAGTAATAAAGCAGTAGGGCAGATATTTGGTAAAAAGCAAATGAAAATTTAACTGATAATGCTGACACTAGAAATCCACCAATTTTATATGCACATCAAAGTAACTGCATTTGAATGTGATAGCTGAAGTTAACTCTAGTTTGCCAAAATTGGCTTAAGGATTTGCATCAATTCTGGGACCATAGCAGGTGTTAGTTGTTTGGTTTGATAAGATTGTTAAAAAGCAAGACTTTGATAATATTTCAGTCATACTTTGTTGACATTAGATTTCACTCAAATCAACCAACATCCAGATGGTCAAGATATCTGAGAGACAAAATCAATCTAAAAAAAAATCATAATCAACATCCATCATTCTAAATAATATGCATTGTTTAAGTAGCAGCTTTGAGACAAATAGAATACATGATATAACACATGGAACCAAAACAAGAATTATGACTAGGCCTAATTCAAGATTGAATGAAATTAGACTCTATTTCTTTTATTTAAATTAGGTAGAAATTATCCTTAGGATAACATTGAGTTTAAATTTTAATTAGTTATTAGTAAAAGATTTAAATTTTGGTAGGAGTTGTTTTGAATTTGATTAACAAATCTGTTTATATAAATAGAGCATGATGGATACATTTTTCATTGTTGATGCATTAAAGTAAGAATTATCTTAGATTCCATCTTTCTTTCTCTCCTCTAACTTGATGGCTTCTACCTATGAACTTCGAAAAACAACAAGCATTTTGACGAAATTGTAATCTGGAGATTGGAAGTTATAAGCATTCAAAATGAGATGTAACGAAATTAATAGTCAACTTGATTAAGATCCATAGTTCTATCATTTTGAGTTGAAATAGTTGGATTGGCCCGCCAAAGCTATAGGGCCAGAAGTCATATTTTTCAAGGAGTTTAAATAGCAATCATGGATCACATCCTTTAGGTACCCATAATAGACCATTGTGACAATAAGCCAAAGCATATATCCTCTCAAGAATGAGGTTTGGAATATGCCCAAATGCAAATAAGAAGAAGAAGAAGAAGAAGAAGAAATTAGGGTATTAATATGGATGATTGTGATTCAGAGGTGCAATAATATAACTATTGAAGGTTCAACGATCAGGATTGACTGATTATTCTCTCAGAAACAGAACTACACAAAAGCAGCTAATGGCAAGGAATTTATCAATCCAAGAGGGATAACACCTTAACATGCACAAGGATTTTGATGACGAAAAGAACTAGTGTTATTTGGCATCATTATCATAAGGCTAGTGTATATGTTGAATGCAGCCTTGGCAAGCATCGACAAGAATCAATTCCTTAAGAAAAGAATAAAAAAGAATAGGTTCACTATTTCATTTCAATATTTATGTAATATTTATACAATCATAGGTGAACTTTTAATAGAAAACAGACAAAATCAGGGATGAATAATTATAATAGCTCATAAATTGATAAGTAGACAGAATAATAATTGTAGAATAATTACAATAGTTCATAGCTGATGAGGAGGCATTATTAATCCCCTGGATCACTAAAATGACATGAAGTGAATAAGAAAAGTGGATGATTGTTGGACTCGATGGAACATTGATGAAGGCAAAATTGATGAAGATTGATTTTTCTACACTCCAACTCAACTGAATGAATGCATGTTGTTCATTCCAAGCTTCCATGTTAATTTTTAAAATATTAATCCTGATAATTCTTTGGTTAGAATATTTGCAAGTTGGCCATTAATTAAAAAAAAGTAAAGATAATCCCAACGTGTTGAAAATTGGACTGGACCAGCTAGTTCAATCGATTAGACCGTGTACCGGCCAAGTCACCAGTCCAGTCAAATTCAAACGTGTTTCTATCAAATTAGCTCGAACCAGGTTTGAACCGCCAATTCGACTAGAATATTGTTGAACCGGTCCCAGTTTGGAAGAACCGATCGGTTCTATAAAATATTTAATTTAATTTTAAATAAAATTTAAATGATATGTTTTAGTTTATTAAATTATTTTACTTTTTTTTAAATATATTTATTAGATATGGAGGTGAATTTAGCCATAATATATACTTGTCATCTCACATAACACTCTTTGTTGTTAGTTGTGTAATTTTCATACTATGTAAAGACAATTAGCTCAAACTCCCCAATTAACTCAAACTCCCCTATAAAAACAAAGTATCACATAACCCATTAACAACATTAATTAAAATTATAAATCATGATCTAAAGAGGGATAATTAATAATAGCTGTTTGCACCCATGAAAAAATTTTAATTTCTATCATGAAATCCTCATTAGAGAATATAATTTCTATGTAGTGTCTTATCTAATATCTCATCTATCTTTTAAAAATTTAATATGGAACCACTCAATATAATAGAATTTGGTAGAACAATTTGAAGCCCACAAATTACTTTCAAATTTAAACTGAAATATTATTTTTATGCATATGTCTGATAGGATGTATGTTTTTATTAATGCATTGAAGTAAAAATCATCTTAGATCCCCCTTTCTCTCTCTCTCCTCCAACCACATCTCCCCCCTGCAGAAAAAATCCATCTCTACCTTCAAGATTTCTTTTTCTAAGGAAATCTAAGTTTCAGATTTCTCCTACTTCCTGATTTTCTTCTCAAACGAGATTATCTCCTAACTGCAACGTTCAGTTACTTATCCTGATCAAAATAGTCAGCCGCAACCTTCCTCCTCCGATCAATGCAGGCTATATCCAAAGATCCAACTTCATCACTTTCCTCCCAACACCTTCTATTCTCACCATACATATTAGCACACTGACCACTTAACATAAAAATTCACCAAATTCTCCCCATGGTATATATCAACGCATTTCATAAAAAAATACAACCATCTGAATAGCATTGCCATCTAATGCATTACAAGTAAGATAACATTGAACCCAACAGCTCCATAATCAGCACCACTTACCATTTGGGTTTCCTTGTCCAATCAGCCGTGCATTTCGACCAGTTTGCTCTAGGGCTTCAAGCATTGTTTTCACAGGAATGGACCCAATAACTCTTACCACTTGATTGCTCAAATCCACATCAACGCCACTCACCCCTGTCAATGGACAAGTATATAAATTAAATGATGGGGAAAAAATGGTAGCACCCCTCTCAATAAAGAAGTATACAGTTTAATTGATATTAAAAACAATGGTAATAGCAACTTCTGACAGACCAGGAACGCGAATAAGAATGATATCAGTTCAGTGAAAAGTTTACAGATTTTTGAAGCATGATCACCCACCGTCAAGCTTTAGCATATTGTTCTTTACTGCCGAAACACAACCTTCGCATGTCATATCTACCATAAATTCAGTCTGAAAACAAAATAAAGTGAAATCATCATGATGCATAGAGCAAAAAATCAATTACAATTTATCATAATAAAAACATTTTAAACAACAACAACAACAACAACATCAAGCCTTTATCCCACTACGTGGGGTCGGCTACATGAATCCTTTTTCTCCATTAGTTTAAGCTCAGACTGGGCAAAATAAGAGATGACAGGACTCCAACTTCCATAAAAAAATAGAAGCTTCCCAAAATAAAGTGTTTTCAGCTTTCCAAATAAAAGTTCAACATCATACCATAATAAAGTGAATGAATGCACCTAGAACACAACGCTTCAGGAACAAAAATTTGCTTGTTACATAGTAAATCATTCAGTACGTTGTAAAACCTATAATGATAGCAAGTGTTTAAGTTTGTACATAAACAGATACTTAAAAAATCTACAGGAGTTAAGAAATCAATCAGTATCATGCCTTCTGGGTAAATCTATCTTATAGCAAGTGTTTCATGTGTGCCTATGTTAACTTGCTGTTTAATATCTATTACTAAGCTGAAGAAAGATATGACACGTGAAGTGATGTTTTTTTCTTCAATTGTATTTTTCAGGATAAAACTACAGGGTAGATAATTGATAGTACTAATGAAAAGAATAGCCTATACCACTTTGTCAGAACCGAACCTTTACATAACCTGATAACCATCATAATAGCATGGGTGTATTTGTTTTCTAAATTTCAATATTATGTTATGGCATAAATGTTTGGAACATATTGGCTAAGAATCTTTTTTTTTTTTTTAATTTTTTTTAATTTTTTTATCTTGGCTAAGAATCTTGTATGCAAATCTATTTAATAAGGGTGATCTTTTCCGCAAATGTAAAATGTGTGTACTGGTTAAACAAACCCAAAGTAGCCTTTCTTCACATCCATACTTAACTTCCAACTATTTCCACCTTACTCATAGTGACATTTGGAGACCTGCTAGAATTACTAGTTTAACAGGAACTCAATTGTTCACAACCTTTATTGATAATCATATAAAGGTGATGTAGAACTATGAATGCTTTAAATGATAGATATAAGAATTTGCACGCTTTCAAGTAAGAGCAATAAAAGAATTAAAACATTAGTGATGGGAACATCAGATCGTGGAAGGTTTATCAGAGACGTGGCCGTCGATCTACGGCCACGATTGATTCATTGTATTTTTGATTTGTTTTATGCATTTTCTTATTATGATGTTATATTGTATTTGTTTCTTTTAGTTTCCCGTTATACCCATTTATTAAGATAGGTCGTATGTACGCCCTAGGGGCATTGTCTTCCTTTTATGTTTTGAGTCTTTGTAAGAGGCTATTTATATCTCTATTATTCTTCTTTTCAAGTTAGTGAATGATTGATTAAAATATTTCTTCCCCTTACATGAGTTCTTGTAAGAGCTTGAGAAATCGGAGAGAGATCTCTATGAGAGGGAGAATTGTGCATCACCCACCAACCTAGACGAGTCGGGTTCGTGGTTCGACTTTCTATCTCTTTCCCTTCCCCCTTTCCCATACCACCGCCGGCCCTACCTCCCCTCCATCATCCTTGCCCAAACATTCATCATCACCAAACCCCTTCCTCACGTCCACCGAAAATCCCCAAGCCACCTCCACCTAACCGCCGGCTCCCCTTACTCGAACCCTAAGCAAGCCGCAGACCTCCCTAGCCCTTGCCTTCCCTTGGATTCATTTCCTACTCTAGATTGTCATAATTGGGACAGATTTTTGAATTCAAATTCACCCAATTTGAAATTTAAAATCTTTCCTAAATTATAAAATCTATTTATGAAAAGTTTCCTAATTTAATCCCCAATCAACTCCTAATCAAATTTAAATTAAATTTGATTGAAGCCACTTGCCTTGTGAGGAGCTCTCTTGAGTCTCTTATTTGGAAGGTGCTTAACTCCTCCCAAATTCCCTCCCTTAGCCACTAATGCCACCGGCCCCTTTAGAGTAGGATTAGGAATTCTTTCCTAAATCCCAACTCTCCTCTTTTGAAATATTTCCAAACCTCAAACCTCCTCTTTGGACGAAATTTTCAAAGCCCACCTCCCTTAATTACTTTCCAAATTCTAAACAGTGGGGTTTGGAAATAAAACCCTCATCCACCCCTCTCCTTGCCGCCGCCCCCCACCCCCTCTTGCTTTTCTCTCTTCCATTGATTCTCAAATAAGAGAATATTTAGGAGGTTAAGAATTCTAACTCCCTCCATCCACTTCTCCCTAAGCCTCCACCCCTTGGCCGGCCACACCTTGTCACCCTAACTTCAAGTTGAAGAGAAACTTCTTTCTCTCCAACGGAGTTCAAGGTTACTAGCAATCTTCGAAAGATATCGTTATCTAGAATTCATAAATGGTCGATCCTGACATTGACTACGGACTTGCCTACGACGAACACGGCTTTGTGCACATTCTCCATTCAACCTTCTTCGACGTCAACCCGAGGATCGACCATACGGTTGAGGACAATATAGAACGCACCTTGGACACCTTGGCTAACGCCATTGAATAGCAAATTGAGATTGTCAAGTGGAGGATTGCAACCGATCCTTGACGAAGGTTTTCTAATTTTCCTTTTTCTCGTATTTCTTAAGTCTAATCCTTTCTTGTGATTTGATTGTAGTCATGAAGGACGCATTTGCCCGATTCTGCCGAGCTTAGTAAACATAGGGAATTGAGTGTACTTCATTGTTTTCTAATCGTATTGTTAGATTAGAAATTTCCGTTGAAAGCTACTACTTTGTATGATGTAATTTTCCTAAGTTATTTTGATTATTCAAATCTCTTGATGTGTAACTTAGCCTAAACGAAAGTGACCGCTCTTACGTTTTGATTCATCATTTTACTTGCTAATAGTTCTATTTGTTATTTCTCTAATCAATAAGTTGTGCAAGCCCTAAATAAATTCATTGCAAGCATCGTAGTCCTACATCAGTTAGCCACTTGACGAAAATGGAAAACAAAAAAGGGGTGCCTCAATTTAGGCCAAGTCATACAGTAATAATTAGGATCACAAACAATTATAAAATTCAACATAAACAAATATAGAGGATTTTTAATAACATCCCTAGATTAACAACGATATTAGATACATAGAAGTCCATCACTCATCCCCTACATTTACTAAGCTTTGGTGGAGAGCTTTGCAAGATTATTTATGCTTGATACACAACCACAATCGAAGGAGAACATGAAGGAAAATGAGGAGGGGGAAAGAGTTCACCCTTGTCTTGGCGGGGCGGTGATCTTCCATTGAACGGTGGAAAGTTGTTCTTCGATGGCGTTCGAAAGAGTGTGAATATGATGCACTCCAAGTATTCCTCGACAGAATTATCTACCTCCGGATTGACGTCGAAGAAGGGTGATCGGAGGATGTCGACGAAGCCTTGTCCGTTGTAGATGAAGCTGGAGATGCATTTAGGATTGGCTATGCATAAGATACGTGGCGTTGAAGTACTGTGGATGATGCACTTTGTTGTCCTTGAGGATTCCCTTTGCGAGAAAGAAGTTTCTCCAAGGAATCCAAGAAGACAAAGGGATGAGAGGGTGGTCGACCAAGGTAGGAGGCTAGGGAGAGTTTAGGTTTATATTTTGGTGGAGTTAATGTTAGGTTAGAGCAAGCTAGGTTAGAGAGGGAAGTGGGGAAATATGATTCAGATTTGAAAGGTGGAGAATGCAGGGAAATTAGGTAAAGCGTTTCCTTAATTAATCCTCTTAATTTGGGAGGATTAATGAGGGATTGGAGAGAGAGAGAGAGAGAGAGAGAGAGAGAGGCGGTTGGTAGGAAAGAAGGAAGGAATTTGAATGAATTCCAATGGGAGAGGCTTCCTTTTGGAAGGAATTTAATTAAGTGAGGACAAGGAGAATTCGGCCAAGAGAGAGAGAGAGAGAGAGGGGAAAATGTGTCAAGATTCAATGTATTTGAACGTAGGGCTTTAATTAATCAATAAATTCAGATTTGATTAATTGATTTGATTGTGATCCCTTTCCCAAAATAAGTTTATCTAATAGGAAAGAATTTGAATTTTAAATTCATTTGAATTCAAATTCAATTCCCTTCCAAATTGGGGTTGACTAAATAAGGAAAGTGGGGGTGATGGACGCCGGCGGTTTGGGTGGGGAAGGAGGAGGCCAAAGGCTATGGGGGCTCCCGGTCACGTGGAGGGTGGAGGAGGGGTGGGGTTGGTGTGGGCCGGCAGCAAAGGGAGGAGGAGGAGGAGAAGAAAGAAGATAGTAAGGAAAACCAAGAGCTCGCCCGATGGTGGATGTTGGGTACTTCATTAGGCCTCTCCTAGGCTTCACCATTCTAAACTCTCTCAAATCCTCCCAAGGAGCACAAGAGCAGAAATTTTCTGTAATAATTTCTCATTACTTGAAAAGAAACATAAGAGGCTTATAAATAGTCTCATACAATGAAAGAAAACTAAAAGACAGCGTTGCCCCTAGGGCTTACATATGACCAAACTCTTAAGTAAGGATAAAAGCAGAAAATGTAAACAAATAAAACAAATACATATAATGAATAAAAAATAGATCGGTCCAATCGTGGCTGTAGATCGTCGGCCACGTCTCTGATATACTTTCCATGATCGGATGTCCCCATCAAAAGGCCTGTTAGGTTTACCTCATGAGAGAAAAATCTAAAGTTTTTCATTATTCAAAATTTTCAACAAACTTATAAAATAAGTGTTTCAAACATCCATCTAAACCATCTGCACTAACAAAAAGAAAGAATATTTCTCCCATTAGTTTACTCAGAATTTAAATAAAAATATGATTCACCAATAACGTTCTTGTGTTCATACCACTCAACAAAATGGGATGTTTGGCATAATCTATCATATTCACAATCCCAAACTACTATTGGGTGGAAGCCATTCTCATATCTACCTAGCTTATCAATCATCAACCATCCAAGACGCTTAATTTTTGAACTCTTATAAGTGTCCTTCATAATCTATAATCTCCATTCGAAATTATTTGGTTGTATCTCAAAATTAGGTGCATTATAAATACAAAATATAGGAAAATCAATGCATTCAAAATACTTAGTGGTATTCATTGTTTATAAAATAAACTATGAAGTTTGATTTTTTGTGTTTGGTGGATGGTAGGAATCGCTTGTAGGAACAAAAATTTGTCTTGCTGTATTTAAATTTCAGCACTTGCAAAAATAGATTGGAGAATAATTTGGAAGAAATACCTAGAATTAAACATCTTTAATTGATAAAAAATGAAAGAAAACGAAAAAAATACAATAGATCCTCAATTGGAAAGGAGGGGTCCATCTCTCCCAATCTCTAGCCGGTGGCTAGATCCCAAACAAACCATAGGAACTCTCCAAAATTTAGCAAATATCAAGATAACCCTAACCCTAGACAATCTCATCTATTTAAATCATACAAATACAACTCCGATTTACTAAACAACCCCTCCCTAAATCAAAACCTGCCTAATCCGCCCCCTCTCTTCAAGTACTGGGCCCCAAAAGGCGGTCGGCAGCTGGCTTGGCCGCCTAGAGGAAACCAGCCTTATGGATGGTTTAGCCGAACCTCCTTGGGTCAGTCTTGCCGGTCTAACAATACCCCCCTCCCAAAGATTCACCTTATCCACAAGGTGGAAAGACGAATCATTCTTCAACTTCCTCAGTATCACAAATGGTGAGAACCTGAAGAGTTTAATCCTTACATTTGTGTCATGGTGTATACTTCTCAGATCTAAAATAAATCACATTCGCCCTCTTCTCCTGTAACTCCATTTTTGTGTTCTTGAAGTTATCTCCAGGTCTTCCACCTGTAGCCTTCTCCTTAGGGATCTCCCAAAGAGTACTCGTTGTTGACTTCTTGGGTGCCAAAAAGGTGGTAGTCATCCTACATGAGCCTCCTGAGCTGCTGCCTCCCGTCCCTCTCTCCAGGTGCCTCTGATTCTCAATCAATTGAGCTAGCTCCATAGCCTCTCCCAAATCACGAGGCCTCATTACTCTAATTATTGCTCGAATCTCTTGTTTGAGCCCTTTCATAAAGTTTCCCTCCAGTACAGTCTCTAAGAGTCAGTTCAATCTACTAGCTAGCTGCTCAAACTGCTCACGATACTCCACCACTATCCCCTTCTGCGTCAGGGTGAAAAACTACTCATTGAAGTCCCCTCCTCGGCTGGTTCGAAAATGTTTTAACAAGAAATACTTAAACTCCCTCCAAGTCCGTATGCTAGTTGGCCTCGTATCCCTCCACTGGTACCATGCCACCCCTCCAAGCACATCCCCACTGTCGTTAGTCTCTACTCCTCCGTCAACCTATTGACGGTAAAGTACATCTTCACCCTGTAGATCCACCCATGTGCATTCTCTCCCTCAAAAATAGGCATATTCAATTTCCTCACTCTCATATCTCCTCTGTTACCCATGCTTCCTCCAAAGTTTTTCATTCCCCAAGGGGGTGGTTCCCCCCAATTGTGCCAATCATCCATTCTCCACTCGCACCCAAACCTTTCATCACAAACCAACCTTCTCCTTTCAAATTCAGCACCACTTCGATCAAATTCAACCCTTCTCCTTTCAAATTCGACACCTCTTCGAGCATAATCAAGCCCTCACCTTTAAAATTCATCCCCTCTCCTTACAAATTCGACACCTCTTTGATCATAATCAAGCCCTCGTCTTTCAAATTCAGTCTCTCTCCTCTAAAATTCAACACCCCTCCACTCATGCCCAATCCCCTCACGTCTCTCCGCATACTCTCTACCCGACTCCTCCCTAAGCATTGGTCCTAGGCATTTTTTCTGCTCCCACCAAAATCTCCAGTTCTTGATCTTTCCTTCATCTAGCTAGCTTAGGGTTTTCCCCACTTCCACACCCATCGGCGGCTTCCATCCCCTCTGATGGCGATGTTTTGGTTTGGCCCTCGAGCAATTTCTTCAACATCTCCTCTAGGATGGAACATTTCAAGTCGATCTTCTAAAGAATACATGAAACCACTTCTTAAATCTGAAACTTGAGTTTGGAGATATGAAATTTTAAATTTCATTAGTCCTTTCTCCCTATCCAATACTTCCACCTTTCATCCCGCCATAGGTCATTGGATCTTTGTTAGACTCAAAATCCGGATTTCCAATCCAAAACTGCAAAATCAGCCGTTCGAAGAAGAAAAACTACTGCAAAAATCAGCCCAAACAGCCCCAAAATTGGCCCGTACACCGCCTTAATACCAATTTGATAGGAAACGCGTGTAGGAACAAAAGTTTTCCTAGCTGAATTTTAATTTCAGCACTTACAAAAATAGATTGAAGAAGAATTTGGAAAAAATAACCAGAAATAAACCTCTTTAATTGATAAAAGATGAAAGAAAATGAACAAGATACAATTGATCCTCGATTAGAGAGGAGAATTTGTCTCTCCCAATCTCTAGCCGGTGGCTAGAGCACAAACAAACCTAGGAACTTTCCAAAATTCAACAAATATCAAGATAATTGTAACCCTAGACAATCGCATCTATTTGCAGCATACAAATACAACTATGATTTAAAAAAAACAACAACTATGATTTACGAAACGGCCCCTCCCTAAATCAAAACCTGCCTAAGCCCCCCCCCCTTTTTAAAATACCAATTCCCCCCCCCCCCCCCCCCCCTTTTATAAATCATATATTAAAATATCTTTAAGTTAGTCTATGAAGAGGTTTGACATTTTACAAAAAACAAAAAAGATAAAAGGATATACTAAATCAGATTGGGTGGGAGATGAGGCTAATAAAACTACCTCAAGATTTTGCACAAAATTATAAAAATATATTGTCAATTGATCAATTAAAAAATAAACCGTGGTGGCGAGAAGCTGTGCTAAAGCAAAATTTGTGTCATTGAATGATGAGTTTAACCAGTTATTTGGCTAGAGAGGTTGATGGAGGATTAATTATATAAAATACATCTCTTGCAACTCTCTATAATGACAATAAATCAACAATTAGCATTATGAGCAATCTTGTTCAACATGACAAAATGGAGAATGTAAGAATTGATGGGTCATTTATAAAAAGAGAGATTGCAAAGGATGGTGGAATAAAACTATCTTATAATCCTACAATCTTGAAACAAGCTGATAATCTAATAAAAATCCTAAATAAAGGACCTTTCGAAGAAATATTGAGAAAGTTAATAAAGCTAAATATCTATTGGTAAATTTGAGGAGGACAGTGGTAAAATTAGGAAACACTATTTATTTCTACACTAAGGTATTTTGGAATGAAAGTTAAGATTTGCTTCAATTCAAAAATACTACATTTCAGTTGTTGCCACCCCTTTCATTTTGACTCCTTAGTTGGAAAAATGGCAATGCTTAACAACCTTAATTCACACCTTCAGCAAAAATAAAATCGTCAATCCATGCTTACAGCTGGTCTACTGCCTATTTAGCCCATCATTGATTTCCATGTGTGCTGATAAAGAATTTGATGTTATCCATTATTTGTACATTGCCATATTTACTCTAATTGGACCATCTATTCATCCCATAGATGTACCTCTAACTAATCTTAGAATTTGCACCATATATGAAAGGAGGTGGAGGAAATTTAATTTACTTATATTCTATTTTATTCACTTTACTATTTTATGAAAAAGTGTATAAATATCATGTAATACAACATAAAATGCAAGACAAACAATTCTCACAGATTTTACATTTTGTTCATTTAGCATAGAAAATAAGCAAAACAAAAAAGATATTGGTGAAGTCCTGCATCAAAAAGCTTAAGTTGTTAGGATAGGTTTTAATAACAAATTCACGCACTAAACAATCAGAAACATGCCTAAGTTGTGTGAAGTCAAAGAAACACAAATGGCATGCACCGATCTATTTGAGAGTTAATTGGAACAGCTTCTTTAGCTCTCTCGCAATCTAATAGCATGTTTAAACTTCAATCCAGTATATTTGGCGAGATGATTAGTTAAACACGTTCATCATTTCCATACTGAAATGCTTCTATCCAACAGCTACAATCACCATTAAGACCGGATTATATAACAAAAAACAAAGATGGGATTCCGTTGATTTCTAAACGGGCCTTAGAGATCGTCAAACGTTAATTTGCAATTACAATAGCCAATAACAAATTAGTTTGGGAACGAATCAAAAAACAGATATAGGCAAAATCAACTCACCATGAGCTCCGGCAGAACCCCCGTTTGCTGCAGACAAAAACAAATCATCGGATAAGAAGAGAAACTCCTCAACGAAACAAGAAACCGATAATATCAACAACAGCACGAAATAAGAGTAAAGAACAAACCTCATCGTAGGGCTTGGCATCAACCGCCACGGATTCCATATGCAGAGCGGCGTTAGCACGGAACGGATTCGAGACGGCTTCGAAGGACCTCAGAGCCGAGGCTGAAAGCAAGGAAGCGGGGAGAGGGAGATCGGATTTAACGGGGAATCGGAAAGACGGAAAGAGAGAAGAATGGGATAAGGCGGTAACGGCGACGGCTGCAGGGAGTAGAGAGGCCGTCGTTAAGGTTCTTACGAAGGATGCCATTGCCTTCGATTTTATACCACTTTAGGAGACGATAGCTGACTACTTTGAAGTGTGAAATAGTTTGCCGGTCAGAAATGGAAGAGGCTGCGCCAAACATCGGCTGTGGAGTCTCATGTAAATGGCGGTTAATTGTCTCATCGAGTTGGATCTAACCCAATTACTGGTTTATTTATTGGCATATTATCATAATTTTATCATATTTATTTTTCTAATATTTAATTATTTACATTTAACTATCGAATATTTTATTATATTTAATTTTTTAAAATTACAAAAATTATTTTAGGAAATAAATAATAACAAAGCCATCTCAAAAGAAGTATAATATACAGGGCTGTCAAAATTGGGTCACAGGTTCGGTCCAACCCGAAAATGATCCAACAATATTTTGATCAATCCTAACCCGACCCGTTTATGGAAACGGGTCAGTTTTTAGTACTTGAACCCGACCCGCTTCGGGCTCGGATCAACCCGACCCAACCCGTAAGTCTTTCACCTCATTATTATAATTCACATGCTTATTAAGCCAAATCCCATAACTTCGGCAGTCTGATCCTCCGGCAACGATAGATGGCCAGACAACGACAACATCAGCAGGCAAGCGGCGACACGACATCAAGCAAATGGGCAGACACGATAACAGGCAAGTAGGGTAGGCGATCGACTCAATGCAATGTGATTCGACGCGGGTAGCCGGGGCATGCAACTCGCGCAGCGACGTGGGCAGGGGCGTTCAGAGCGGGCAAATGCACTTTTCCGAGACATTCTCGGATTTTTAGGTCAGCCCGAACCCAACCCGGTTTTTGAAATGGTCGGTTTGTTGAACCCGAGCCCAACCCATTTTGGATCCGGGTTGACCCAAACCGAAATTTTTTGTGTCGGGTTAGAATCTGATTTTTGGATCGTGTTCAATATTGACATCGCTACGTAATATATATCCAATCCATTCAACAATTATAAAAATGTTGATTTTCTTATTGAATGACTCTTTATATATAAATTTTATTTTTTCTAATGTTATATTGTGGTGTCTTAAAATGTGATTAACAACTTCCATGTGGTCATTAATAGGGTTGTTCATGAATTAGCTTATAATACTAACTGGAAACTCAATAGCAGGAGAAGTGCAATAAATGTAAGTGAATTTGTATAGAATGCGTTAATACATAGCTTTATCAATGAGTGTGCTATTAGTGGTGATATATCATCAAAAAATTATATTGACCAGGCACAAATCTCGAGGCAAAATCAGCCCGGAAACTTTAAAATTTAAATCTTGGTTCACATGAACTCCAATTTCAGCAAACTTATAGTCAAACTGAGCGACTCGGAAATACGAACCCAACGACACAAAATTCAACTCAATCCAAGTCCAAATGAGCCCAAATCAAGTGTAACATCAAATCTGCTCCATGATCGTCCAGGCCGATCTGGATCGTCCCGGGACGATTAGTGTAAATTCTGTTCCAGATTTTGTACAAAAGTTACAGGAATGAGTTTCTGTAGGGATCGTCCGGGACGATCCCAGATCGTCCCCGGGACGATCAGTGTATGGCTCAAGTCAGAGAGCAAATCGTCCTGGAAATTAATTATCGTCCTGAGAAATCGTCCCAGGCCGATTGGATTTTGTTAAGATCGTCCAAGACGATCGTGCGATCGGCCGGGCCGATCAGTGTAATATTTAGCTGAAATCAGCTCATTTTGAAGAGAGAGAAAATCATAAAATATCTAAATTTCAACTGAGGAGAGAGAAGGTCGAGAGAAAATTTGGAAAAGTTGATTTTCGGGCGACGCCGGGTCGTTTTCGTCCGACGAGATTGTTCGAGAAAGTGTTGTACGCAAGGTAAGGCACATTCCGCCTTTCTCAATTTTCAGAACGGTGAAGTTTGAACGAGTTTTCTGTCCGGATTTTGTTTTTGTTAACGAATTTCGTCCGTATTTTCCGATTGGTTCAGTTTTTACCGCGTAACTTTTGATATGTTTCTGAGGTGCCGAGTGTGCACATTTTGATTATTTGTCTTGTGAATTTGTACCTAATTTTATCTCGTTTGTTTCTTTATTGCAATTGACGATGCAAACTTTAAAATGCATATAAAAAATTATCTTATTTCTTTTATTTCTTTAATTTTTAAAATTTTTATATCTGCAATTTGTTAAATTCCTGTATACGCCGGTATACGTGCCGGTATTTCGTACGAGTCTGTAATGTCCGATTGTTTCTGAATACATCTAGCTTGTGTGCTATAAAAGGGAAGTTAAATCGTGAATCCTGTATGATCCTGTCTTTCAGGAACAATCTGAAATGATCCTAAATCTGTTTTTAAAGTTCCATCATATAATCTCTGTTATAAGCACATCTTTTCCTTGATCAACAAAGTAGCATAAGTGGTCAGAATCCGAAATCCATGGTCATCTGAAGTAGCATTAAAAGCCATTAATCCTAATCTTTAGTGTCAGTAAAATCTGTTCTGTCTTTATCTGTTTCTTAATTATATGATTTCATTTTCTGGTATGATATAATTCAATATACTTATATTATGGATTTTATATATGCTTACACATTCTCTGTTCTATACTATACCTATTCTTAATTTTCTTACATTCTTCTGTCTGATCATAATCTTACCTATATTATTTTAAAATCTAATCTAATTTTTACTTCTTCAGTTCTTATTATTATTTCTGCCTTCATTCTATTTGAACTCTGATTGGTCATTCTGATTCTGTTCTGATTCGATATACGATTCTGTTCCGATTTCTGTATGGACTTCTGTCTGATGTGTTTGATGTGGACTCTGAGGATTTTGATTGGAGGTTTGATGTCTTGCTGAGCTGTTGTAGCTCATCCTTATTTTCTGCATGGTTTTCAGGTTCTGGGAAGGGGAAGAAAGTCCAGGAGTAGAAGTTCAGAGTCTGATCTGTTATAGGTATTTTGCACTTTTGAATTTTGTACAGTCATGACTTTTCTGTTCTGCTTTTCTTTTTGTTTGAAATCTATGAGCTGTATTTGTATATGATTCTTTGAGGAAGAAGATAGATGATCTGTTCCGTTGTATTTTGATATTTATAGTAGCTCTGTGCGTCTGTTTCTGTGTGTAATGTTTGGAAGAAAGTTTTGAAACAAATTCCAAAGCCAGATCCTGGAATCAGTTCAGTCAGTTTTGAATCCGGCCTCACGACCCGATGCAAGCGGGATCCGTCCCGGTCGGGTTGGGTCGTGACATGAAGCACCCGAAGTGATGTTGGAAAGTTCATACCATAATTTGAGTTACTAAACGGTCTCCGATTTTAACGAGCTTATAGTCGAATCGAACGGCTCGACGAGACAAATCCAACGAGCTCAAGATTGCTGAATTCCAACATCACTAAGACCTTCAAATGTCTGAAGAACGGTGCACGATTAAGGGATTCAATATCAACCGTCCATTCGACCACTCCCTACTTGCCCCTGATCTCACACCTATTTACAAGCTATGTCACTCCATAAAATCTATAAATAGACCCCTCATTTCTCAAGAGATGGGACCCCAAGCAAGAAGAAGAGAAGGATAGGAGGGAATAACTACTCCTCGACCACCGCCGGAGTTCTGCCCGAAGCCCGAGTGACGCCAAAATTTTTTCGGGCGCCTGAGTGACGCCGGAATTCTACTCAACTTCGGAACAACGTTAGAACTCTGCTCAACTTTGTAACTGAATCTCAATTTAGAAGAGATTCATTGTGATCTGATCGTCCTAACTTTGTGGACGAGTCAACCTCTTGTATCTCAAATAAAACACTAGTGGAACTATTTCAATTAGTCGAGGCCCCGTGGTTTTTTCCCTTTCAGGGTTTCCACGTAAAAATCCTGGTGTTTTTATTTCTTTTCTGTTTGTGCGCTGGATATTCATACAACGCTGAGATGGAAATTTACTAACTCTATCGCCGCGTATATCCTAGCCCGCAACAAGTGGTAATTCTAATTTTTTTATTAAGTCTATTACAGATTTTATGGGAATATTTTCAAGCATTCATGCTTCATTAAGTATGTAGAGAATAAATTTCATAACAATATCTATTTTAATAGTGTCACTTCAATATAAAAAAAAAACAAGAATTTAGATTCGCAAGTCTTTAATTTTAAATTCTCTACGAGAAATCCTAAGTTTTTTTAGCCTGCTAATAGAATTGTAAATTCATACTGATGGGTTAGGTTCATACTTGACTTGAAATTAAGCTTAACTTGAACAAGATCTATTGATCATATGAGTCAAAATATTTGACCCAAACCTGCTGAAATCAAAAGTGCTCCCTTTGACTCATTTATTATCGAGCTAATGTAATTTTTTTATTAAGATGACTCAATTAAGTCAAATATGTCTTATTTAGACTTCGTTTGAGATCATTTTCTTACTGCTTTATGAATGATCAAAATAAAATGTTAATTTGATAAAAAAAATATAAAAAGTTTAAATACTAAAAATTAGAGATCATAATTTGGGATTTTACACAAAATGTTTTGTTATTTTTTTCTTATTTTTTTAAACAAAATGTTACATCTAATCCTTATAAGAGGGGTTTAGGCCGGTTTAGGCTAGAAAAGAATATATGGGTCACAAAAATTAAAATATGTGTACTAAAAAGTTGATTTAAGAAACAGCAATAAATATGTCTCAAATGAAACATTAATGATGAATAAGTTGATATAATCATAAAAGAATATAATAATATAGATTGCTTTTATGTCATGATGTAATTTCACATTTGGAATTTAATCATTTACAATTTCCTTTTTTGTGAAATCATTATAACTCTAATATCTATAGTTTTGTGGTAGCACACTAACAACTCAAATCATAGCTTTATAATATTTTGGACTGTGACCTTATGATGATATGTTTGGGATAGCTGTATCATTTTATAAAATTAAATTATCTTTGTGATTGTAGAAAATATATTTTCATTGTAATTTTTTTAAAAAGTAGTAAGAAAACAACAATAAATTAGTAGCCAAATAAAATTATGATTGTTATTTGAAAAGTAAAACAATTAGAAAACTATCTCAAATTAAATACTCTGAATAATATCTGCTATTATTTTATACGTGCTTAATATTTACTATGAATGTATTATAAATAAAGATACATATATATTTTGGTTGATAAATATTTGAGGCTAACTTGTTTCTTATATGTGATATAATCCTCTTCTTGTATTAGATTAAACTTGTGAATTATGAATAATAGAAGATAGAGTATAGCACCATTGTCTTTGTCTTTACCACTTGGAGCACGCTATCATAATGACCAACAACTTTAAAAGAAGGAAGAAAAGAACAGATATTAGAAAAAGCAATGAAAAGGAAAAGGAGAAAGCTAGATCCAAGTTACCAATGCCCATAACTATTCCCCCCCATGAACCTCAATTATAGCCACACTAGAGCTCTACTAAAGCGGCAACACATGAAAATAATAAATAAATCAATAAATAAAACAGTCACAAATAATAGTTTGTATACTTAGAGTTTTTTTTGAGTAAAAATTATAATGTGCCGCATTCGGATGCGTTCGAAGGTCAATTCGGACGCGCCATATCACCCAATGCATAGTGTATTGGACGACGTGGCGCATCCTGATTAGTCTCCGGACGCATTCGAACACTGCACATAAGAATCTATCCTATTTGGGAGAGCTTTTTTATTGTTTTTTTTTAAATAGCAAGTGAACTTTTGTTTTCTTACTATTTTCTCACAGTTTTTTTAGAAATTTCTGTAATAAAAAGTTATATTTTTATAATCAAAATTGTTAAGTTACTTTCTTCACAATAGTTTTACAATCAAATTTATAAAATACTATAATAACCACAAACAAATATTTAGTTGATTAACCTATGAATTCATTTATTTCCCAAATATGTAATTAATTATGTTATGAGTCCTAATTTTAGAAAAATATAATGAAAAAAACATAAAATTTTCTTAATACAAATATTTTTATTTTGATATAAATTATTTTTTTGACAGAAATGATTCATAATAAAAATTTAACATAGAAGAAAGTGGTAGCCCAATGTCATATATTTTTGTGATATATTCTAAAGAGATGTTAACCGGCGAGTGAACTAAGCATTTATCTACAACAATTTATCCTCGGCGCAAAAATCAGTCCTCCACGTCACTAGCGGGACCCCACATTCGACGGCGAAATTTTCCGGCAGTGCAGCTAAAACCCAGATTCTCCGACGAAGCCTTCCGGCTGCTGGACAAACTCCACAGATCCGATGCCGTCGCAGTCGAAGCCGTCGATCCGCTGGAGGCGCACATCGCCACCGCCCTTACGCTCTCTATGAGCGCCTCCGTTCTCGATTCGTGAGCCAAGATCTCCGCCAGCTCCGCCGCGCTTATTGCCAGCTTCACCTGTGAAAATGTTTTGTATTTTGTGAGCCATTTAACTTCATATATACGCCAATAATTCCTTTATAATTTATAGGATGTTTTCTGAAGACTATTTTTTTTTCTGCTGAAAATAAATTTAAATTTTTATTTTTATGAGCGGCGAAATTAAAATTTTTAGTGAAAGAATTAGCTTCAAGAAATTTTTTTTGCATTTTAAAGATTAAATTTTCAGAATATTATATATAATTTTTTTTTTATAATTTGGCAATCTCATCATATCTAGCATTTTTTTCATAAAAAAACAAAAAAAGGCTAAAATTGAAATATTTTTATAGTTGTATCTATATTAATGTACATCACCTTCCACACCGCCGCCGCCATCGCTGGCGCGCCGGCTTCCGGCTTCGGCCGTGGACAGAAGACAGCAGCGTGGCGGTCAAAAGACACCCGGTACGGTGCGGCAACGGAGGGGAGAAGGGCGGTGGCTCGTGTAGTGAGAGGAAGAAGATAGTAGAGCTCGCCGGCAGCGAGCTCGTCGGTGTGTAGGAGAGGAGATGAGAAAAGGTCGTGGGATGGGAAGATGGCGTAGCCGGGGAAGGCGGCGGTGATGCGTTCGGCTGTCACCGGCCCTGCGAGCTCCATTACGCCGCCGTCGGAGGTGACTACTTTGACCGTCGGCGAGGAAGCGCCGTCGCGGCCTAGACCGGCGAAGGCGCAGTTCCCCATCGTCTTCTGGTGTTTAAGAAGCGTACGCGTTTTACAAATTATATCGTGTGTCCTTTCGTCGTGCGATCTTTCGGTGGAAAGGAGCGAGAGTGGAGCAGCTGCTGCTTCTTTTAAGCAAGTAGCCAAGTAGGGGCTATGAAAGAGACGCTGAAATGTTGGAGCCATTAACGGAATATCAGGGGCTTCATAGAAATTCATAGGATAAAATGTCGGAGCTTAAGTGGCTCTTTTTGCTTAAAATTTATTTTATTTTGTTTTAAATTTATAAATATTTTTATTCATATTTTTAAATTATTTTATTTTAAATTAAAATTAAAATAATATATGAAACTTTTTTTTAATTTCAAATTAAAAATAAAAATAAAAAGTTATCCCAATTTGATGGGATATTTTTTAAGTATATGAATTTTATAAAGATAAAATAATTGAAATACATGTATTTTTTTTAAAAAATATAGAGATTATATTATTCCATATAAATCACATATATAAAAATATATTATTATTTATTTTTAGATATTTCAAATGTATTAAATACAATGAGGACAAATTTAGATGGTGTTGTTACTCTCGTCTAAACACAGAAAAGAAAAAGCTTATATATTTATATATAATCTTTCATGAAATTTTATTTAATGTTTTATGCATATTTGATTTTTTGTGTTATATTTATTTATGTATTGGATGACTAAAAAATTTTCTTGAATACATATATAATATCTATCAAAATATAGAGCAAAATATTTTGAAATTTGGATTTGGATGAAGGGATTTTGGTAAACTACTGAAGAACATGATGATGATAGATGGATAAGTTCTATCACCTATGAGATTATGATGACCAAAATGCCCATCACTTGATTAAATTTGGATTTTTCAGAATTTCAAAAAATGGATAATTAAGATTTCGTTTGGGACAACTTTCTTACTATTTTATGAAACAACTTTTTAATATAAAAATATTTTGAACTTGAAAATTTTCTACTAAAAAACTGCTTTAAAAAATAGTTTAAAAAAATACTTAATTATAATAATTAAGAATCACATTTGAGCTTCACTCCTTAGCATTAATGAATGGATTGATAGAGATTATAGGATTCATGATGATGATTGGTGTTGAAGATATGAATCTAATGATTAGTTTTATATCAATAGCTTTAATATTAACGTTTAATTTGTCCTAAATTTGATTGTCATATTCCATTTTTTTTTCTAATTTCACCTTTTTTTAAATAAAAGAAATTTAAATAAAGGAATTTTAACTTATGATCATTTAATAATTTATCCAAATTAGAAAACAGTGGGGATACCCAATCATTCTCCATCTCCTAATGCTTTATTTTACATGAACAAATTCATTTATTGATTTAAAATTTTGTGCCTTGAATGGAAGGCAAGCAACCACTTAATTTGTCCAACTCCAAACACATTTCTCTTAATTATGGCTTGATTTGGGACTTCTTTTTTAATTCTTTCTAAAATAATTTTTTTATTTTTTTAAATTAATTTTTTTTACTAGAAAACTATTTTAGTAAGCAATAAGAAAAGCTGTCCCAAATGAAACCTATACAACTACACACTAAGAAGAATATGGTTTATGCATTACTGAGACAAATTTCAAAGTTGATCCTATGTTTTTTTTTTGTATTATTTCTCAATAATTTTGCTCTTTAGCATATATAATATATATAAAAATATAGTACAAAATACTTTGTGAAAATTGCATTTGGTTGAAGGGCTTTTATATATTGGCAAAATATATGGTGACTAATAGTCGAATTATATATCATCTATGAGATCATGCATGGTAGGCCAAAATGCCCATAACTTGAGTAACTTTAAGATTTACATTTGATATTTAATTATGGGTGATAAAGAATGAATCGATAGAGATCATAGGCTTCATTGTTAATATTGTTGGAGAGTTGAATCAACTTTAAAAATAATTTTGAATTTAATTATCAAAATTTTATCAAAATTTTAATAATAATCTCATAACTTGAGTAACTTTAAGATTTACTTTTGATCTTTAATTATGGGTGATAAAGAATGCATCATTGGAGATCATAGGCTTCATTGTTAATATTGTTGGAGAGTTGAATCAACTTTAAAAATAATTTTGAATTTTTACGAATTTAATTATCAAAATTTTAATAATAATCTCCATAAATATATATTTTATTAAGGTTGACGAGTGGACTCTTTATGTGGAGAAGTTATTCTGTGCAGACACCGAACAGTTCAAAGACGAATGAGAGTGTCACATCTTCCCGTACACAACATCGATACACAGTAAAAAAAAAAAAATGATGCGACGTTGGAGAGTTGAATCAACTTTAAAAATAATTTTGATTTTTTTTTAAATTTAATTATCAAAATTTTAATAATAATCTCCATAACTATATATTTTATTAAGGTTGATGAGTGGTCTCTTTATGTAGAGAAATTATTCTATGCAGACACCGAACAGTTCAAAGACGAATGAGAGTGTCACATCATCCCGTACACAACATCGATACACAGTAAAAAAAAAAAAATGATGCGACGTACTCTCATTCATCTTCGGATGATGTCTGATGTCCACACAGAATAATTAATCCTTCATGTGACCGAGCAATTTTGGAGCTAAAAAAATTTGTAGGTTTGCACTTAAATTTGTTAAAAATAAAAAAAAAAAGTAAAAATAAAAAATCTCTCTAATCATAACCCGCAGCAGTCAGCTCCGTTGGGCCTTTGCTTTCTTTAAGCGGTGTCCGCTTTCGGCAGCCTTCCCGCGCACGAGGCAGCTCTCTCTCTCTCTCAATCCAAGGCTGAACATGAGAAACTGACCCGGAAAACGACCGTCTGTCACCATCCAATACCAATCTGCCATTTGTCTCCTCCGGTGCACCCTGCATTCTGGTTGCATACTTTGCCCAAAGCACGTCGCACCAGAAAAACACCCAAAATCTTACCCGCTTAAGGTCCCGTGGGTCCCACACCTCCGACCTCTGTTCTCCTCCATGGCAAAGATGGCTTTAACTTGCACCGAGACTCGATTCCCTCGCTCTTTTCCTCTTCTTCTTCTTCTTCTTCTTCTTTCTTTCTTTCATTGGAGGCTCGTAAATGCTCAAGGCAAGATAAGCAAGAGCCTTTACTTCTTCATCTAGTACTCTTCGAAGGTTTCATCAATGGGGAAAGAAGGCCGGAGCTCGTGGCTTGCAGCATTCAAAAGAGCCTTCAGATTTTCTCCGACCAAAGATGCTGATACAGATAAGGAAGATAAGGTGAAAACAGAAGAAAAAGTGGGAAAAATGCATTTTTTATTACCCTATTTGTCACCATACCTTCTTTTTTGTTGCAGAAGAGAGAGAAGAAAAGATGGATATTTCGCAAATCTCCCGCCGGCGAACATCCTCTGAGAACTTTATTGGCGACGGCCGCCGTGCCGCAGGCTGCTGCCTTGACGGCATCCGTTTCAGCTGAGCAGAGGCGGCGAGCCATTGCCGTGGCTGTGGCTTCAGCAGCGACAGCAGAAGCGGCAGCGTCCGCCGCCAAGGCTGCTGCGGAGGTTGTTAGACTAACAAGCTCGAGTGCTTGTCTTGGTAAGAAGGACGCCGCCATTGTCATTCAAACAGCTTTTCGAGGATATCTGGTAAGAGGAATGCTTTTACAGCCACACAAATCACAAGATAGGAAAGTGATTCAATCAAACTTCTAAAAATGCGTTCAAAAGTTTTTTTAATTGAAATAAGATTTAAAAAGTCATCATTTTTAAGCTCATTTTCAAGTTAAAAAATTTTGAGTCTCAACTTTTATAGGGTTAGAACGCCATCTTAATTGTGTACTCCTAATTTTAATAATAATAATAAAACAGAAAATCAATGATCATTGAATTAAATTACTATTTTTAGCATTAAAAATAATAAAAACTTAATGCCTGGATGAGTGAAAAAGAACTTTATTGAAATCCAAGCACAAGGAGAAAAAATTCACTTCACATGAAATAAATACAAAAAATTAATAAATTTCTCTGAAATTTACTTCAATCCAACTCTTATTGAACTGAAATCAACACTTGAAAACTCATTTAATGTTCAAGAGCCAGTCTCTTGAAGGAGAGCAACCCGCCATGATTTGGTATATCACAAGCCTCTTTCTCCTCTAACTGTCTCTCTCTCTCTCTATCCATGGAAGGCAAGGAGGGCATTAAGAGCGCTGAAGGGGCTCGTAAAGCTTCAAGCTTTAGTGAGAGGGCACAACGTTAGGAAGCAGGCAAGCATGACGCTACGATGCATGCAAGCTCTTATCCGTGCTCAGGCGAGGATGAGGGATCAGCGTCTCAGACTCGCACAGGAAGCCGCAGCTAGCTATGTTAGAACAGAGAGGAGAACAAATGCAGTATTTAACATTCACCTTTTTAATTAATTTCTAAACTGCATTGAATGATATATACTAATTAATGGCTATTCTTTTGCAAATTCCTTCAGGTCGGAAGTAGCTTTTTCGAAGATTGGAGAGAACGACGCCGGAAGCTTACAGTTGAAGAGATTCGAGCTATGATGCTTTTGCAGAGCAGCAAGGAAGTGACTTTGAAGCGCGAGAATAAAGCCTTCTCTCACGCTTTGATCTCCCAACAGGCATATAAAATCCTTTATTTTATATCACTTATTCATGTTTTTCTTCTTTAGTAACAGAGTTTCTAATAAAGATTTGATCTTGTTGAGAAAGATTTGGAGAGACAGATCAGGGTTGGCAGAATTCGAAGAAGAAGCGGGGCAGAGGGATCGCCGGACAAGGAGAAGAGCTTCCACGGGTCAAAGGGATCCTATCAAGACACTAGAGGTCGATACTGGATCAAGACACCACCTAGCTTCTTTATCTCCTTCGACTCCGTCGCCATCGAGCGCTCGGAGTTTGCAGATGAGGTCGGCGCCCAACTACATGGCGGCGACGGAATCAGCGATTGCGAGGTTTCGGCCGCAGAGTGCACCGAGGCAGAGGCCAATGACACCGGAGAGAGAAGCGGTGAGCTCGGCGGCAAGGAAGAAGCTACTGTTTGATCCTTATAATGAAAATGATGGTTTGAGTGGGAGGTTGCAGAGTAGTCCGAGTTTTAAGGGAATCAAAGGGTTGAGAGTGGCCTCGGATCAGAAATCGAAGGCGGCGTCGACATGGTGTGAGCAGGAGAGCAGCGGCTGGGAGAATTGCTCGTCGGTGGCCGCAGCAGGCGGTCGGAGATGGCTCCGGTGAAAGAGAGAGACAGAAAGAGAAAGACAGAGGGAGTTGGAGGTCAGTAGTGATGGAGAATCTTTGCTTTTTTTTCCTGTCGTCGGAGGTGGATGGGACATCATTCGGGGAGGAGTCACATCCTTTTGAGAGAGAGATCATAGAACTTTAGTTTTAGTTTACAGTGTTTGTTTTTTCTGTTTTTTTATTAAATGATTTGGCATTTTGAAAGTTATTTAAAGCGTTTTTTTTTTTCTCAACATAAGATCAGTTTTTATTTTTATTTTTTATAATTTGATTTTTTTAAATAGAATTTCTTTCCTGTCATATCTAACAAAGATAATTTATGATGCTTTGTTATACTAATTTTAAATTAGTCATAAGATTTATTAAAAATTAAAAATTTTATGATTATTTTTTCGTTTATGTATATTCTGATATCTGTTTCTATGTTTGATTTACACGAAGAATAATATGATAATGTGATTTATGAGAGTTGAGAAAATTCTTTTTAAATATAAATTTATTTACAGACTATATTTATGTATTTTTAAAGCTATTTTTTAATAGTTTTATGACATCAAGATTATATCTTTTAAGTAAAAAAATGAAAAAAAAAAGATTATATCTTTTAAGATAGGTGCATGTTCTCTTTGCTCATGAGAAAATGTAGGATGTAGTATGCATGATAGGTTTATATGCCATTCAAATAAATGGTCAAATATGTTTTCAACACTGAGGTTTTATTTGGGATTTTGGATGACTTTTTTATTCTCTTAAATCAGTTTATTAGTATAAAAATTTTTTAACTAAAAATTTTGTATTAGAAAACATTTTTATAAAGCAATATGAAAGTTGTCGCAAATGAAGCCTAAAATTTTATTTTTTATTGATGAAAAATGACTTTAACACTAGCCATAAATATTTGCATACAACTGTATTATTAAAAATCAATTTTTAACATTAACTAATTTTTCTAACATAGTTGGATCATCATAAGTATTTTTTTTATCCATCATATATTTACATCTTCACTTATCATCATTAACATTTTTTAAACATTTGGGCCAATAATTCTCAATAATGGGTTCAATTTTCTAAGTGTTATGTTCATTTCTTTTGTACATAAACCAAACACATCAATCACTTATGGGTTGGTTGACAACTTTATTCAAATATAAAACATGAGCTCCTTCATTAATGCCTTGTCATAAATAAGATGTCTGATTAAAATAATGAAATTTTAAAACATAATTTTGATGAAATTAATTATTTAATTAAACATGATAGAATGACAATTAATCTATTGGAGAAATAATTCTGTGCAGAGGTTGGACGCAGCTCTATGTCTAGAGGCAAACCAGGTGCAGCCACGTCAACATTACCAAGTGATACCGAGCAGTACTGAACCACGGTACATAATGAAGGGTGATATGGCGCATTTTAGTTGGTCTCAGAAAGGCATTCTGCATCCGCACAGAATATTTTTTCCATGGAGATGGTGGTGCTGATGATGTCAAGTGATGAAGATGATGATGAGATCCCATGTCTTAGCTTCCTTAATATGACATTGTCTAGTTTTGAAGATTTAGGGTTTTGCTTGTTTCTGTAAATATTTCATGGTTGTCATGTCGACAGGCTTTATTTCAGGAAGCCATTTAATTGTTTGAGAGTTCCGAGGTGCAAAGATCTTTACCCTTTGCACCTTCTGCTTGTTTGGTGCAGCTATTGATAGGTTTCTCTATTTTTGGTTGCTTATGCAACTCAATAGCTCATTTGAAATGACAATATGTATAGCTGTTCACTATTAAATGGAGCCTGAAATGTTATAAATAGCCCAATAGGGATTGTTTTCATACACTATTTATGTGTAATTTGTTGGCTTCTATGTTTCTTCAAGGTTTTAGTATAACAGGACAATAGAAGATAAAATAATAATTAAAAAAAAGCTTTTAAGATGTAGAGTTTTCTACTTGTATACAAGGGCAAATTCAACCTTAATTTTCATAGGGGCAAAAAGTGTAGAATTTTTTTTTCTTAAAGTCGGCTCGACCCCTATTTGTTCATATCCATGATCATTGTATGTTTCACAGATATGTCGGAGGTTCAAGGGGGCAGCACCCCCGAACAAATTTTAGTTGTAAGGATATTTTTAGATTTTATTTACTTTTATCTTATCTTTGTATTTGGTTCAGCGTTTGATTATGCTGGGGGGCAATTTCCCCCTCTCGGCATAGGGTGGATCCGCCCATGCTTGTATATGAGATTAAGGCTTCATTTGGGATGGCTTTCTTACTGCTTGATAAATTTATTTTTTAGTACAAAAATTTCTTAAAATTAAGAAAAAAACATCAATCTAAAGTTGTCCCAAACAAAACCTAAATTGATAGTTTTTCAGCAAGGCATTTGTGACCCTTCTGTTATGGCAGTAGCAACGGCTGATCTATTTATTTATTTTTCAGGAATGGAGTGTTGTTTTCTAGACTCTTATTATATTGATTGGACAATAAGTATATTTTACCCTTTATGTGATGAAATTGATGAAAATTATCATGCATGTGGATGATATCAGTTGAATGCCTAACTAACATTTCTCATGTTCATTAACATTTCTTTGAACTTTTATGATCAAGAAATCAATTGAATATCTTTCCTTTTATTCATATGAAATCAATTTGGTTTTAAGTTTACTTTTTTTTAAGTCTGCAAACTGATATGGCTAATTCTTAGTCTTGGTTTATAAGAAAGATCAATCATTATTATCCATTGACCATTGTCATCCTATTACTTATAATTTTCTCATATGTTGCCCACAATAGCGTTCATGTACATCATCGCCTATAAGATTTATGCATGTAGGCCATATTATATTGACACCATTCGAAATCTTGAAGCAGGACATTTGTAATTGACAATGAACATTAGTTGTATCATTTCAGCTGGGTTATTTTCCATGATTTCTTCCTTTTAGAATTCTCCACATTAAGGCTCAACATCTCTTGCATCCTCCTTTATATGTTTGTATGCAAGATTTTTGCCAAAATATTAAAACATTAAACTCTTATACATAACCATAATAAATTTTCTAACATGCAATAATACACATAAGAGTTTATCTTTGCATGCTATGTTGTGAAAATAATATAAAACAACTGATGTTCTTTGATTAAAGCTTATGAATTCAATTGAGATTAATTATTTAAACCAAAGTAAATCTCAAATTGACTAGTCCAGTAGAGTTCTACTAAATACATCATTAATAAAGCTTCCAAAGTCGCAATTAAGTTTAGACTTAGGTTTTGTTTGGGACAACTTTCTTATAGTAAAAAATTTTCTAATTTAATAATTTTTATACTAAAAAATTACTTTAAAAAATTACAAGGCAACCATAACACTTAGAGAGCCTATAATTTTCATATAGTGCTTTTTTTAAGGGATAATGCACATGGCCAACATCAATCCTTGGGTTATATATATATATTAAATACAATCTGAGAACCTCGTCATCATCTGACAGCATTTGCATTAGTATCAACCGAAGAAGAGTAAATTTCCCATTATCACTGCCCTTTATGTTCTAGATATAGAAAATTTATAACACAACAGATCCTGCCCAAAATTTAATTGAATGTTGACAAAAGAAGTTCATAAAGCGTCGTTTGATTCAATGCATAAAATATTAAAGTTTAATGCATATTAACTTCATCCATTTAGGCTTCGTTTGACACGTCATTCTTGTTGCTTCATAAAGCAACTTTCTAATAAAAAATAATAATTTTTTTGCACTAGAAAGCTAAGCAGCTTTAAAAAGCAATAGAAAAGTTGTCTTAGGCTTCGTTTGGGACGGCTTTTATATTGATTTCTAAAACGGAGTTTTAGTACAAAATTAAAAAATGGTGTACTAAAACTCCGTTTTAGAAAGCAATAAAAAAGCCGTCCCAAACGAAGCCTTAGGCTTCATTTGGGATGGCTATCTTATTGCTTCTTAAAGAAACTTTCTGATACAAAAATTAAAATTTTTGTACTATAAAACTACTTTAGGAAGCAATAAAAAGCTATCCCAAAAAAAGCCATAATCAAATCATTTAATTTTTTTATGTACCAAAAATATCACTTATGTTAAATACCATTAAACCCTCTTTTTATACATCTCTCTCTCTCTCTCTCTCTCTCTCTCTCTCTCTCTCAATATTTTAACATATTGAATTACAGATCCAAGTGTCAGCCACCTTGTTTGTACATACAAGCATTGGACTCACATAAACAGCCTGATTGGGATACATCACATATATACACTGTACAATTTCAGTTAAAAACTTCAGAACTCAACTTCTGAAATACTCTCTCCACAGAAATGGGATCAACATCAAAACCAAAAGTCTCTCCACCATACTGCACATACAGATACTCCTTCGAAGACAATGGAGGAGGCAGAAGCTGCCGAATATTGGCCAAATCTGGACTTGGTGGTTGGGGCAGGTCCTTATCCATAAGTGAGTAGTAAACATCAGCCATTAAAAGCCAAATTGGGTCAGGATTAATACTGGCAAGTCCTGAAAGTGCCTTTATGGATTCATCTCTCAGACCTGTTACATTGCTACAGGCAATTCCCACAACCAAACCACTCACCTTATTAAATACTGTTTGTAATGCTGGAGCACTCCTTTTATTTGAAGCAATTTCGGCAATCATGTTTAAGATCGCCGACTGAATTTTCATGGTGGAAGTCTCAGCCATTGGATGTTCGGATGTCAGAGAGCTGCTTCGATATGGGAGGAGTAATGGCTGAGAATTCTTCGATGGCGAAGGTCTTCTTTGAAAAGGAGATGAGTTTAACAGTTTCCAGATGATAGGTCCATCGGTATGGAATCGGCGAGCAAAGAAATCTCCACCAGCTATCTGGACCGTTTTGGTCAGTACACCTGCACATCTTCTGATGACTGCCTGAAAAGATTAAAAATGTTTATGGATTAGATGATTTGCTAATCTGAAATTAAGAGACGGCTAAGTGAATGGAAAAGTTGTTTGGGAGAGAACACAGCTCTAGATAAAGAATTTTTGAAAGGATGAATTAGGTTTCAAGCATAGAAAAGAACAGTGTGGATGTAGGCTTCGTTTGGGACGGCTTTCTTATTATTTCTTAAAGCAGTTGTTTAGTACAAAGATTTAAACTTTTGTACTAAGAAGCTGTTTTAAGAAATAATAAGAAAGCCGTCCCAAACGAAATTGTAATCTGTATGACAGTTTTCAGAAAAGTACTCATGCTTGCTTTCTGCAATAGAAGATTTTCCCCTTCAGGTCCAAGAGCTCGGTCAGTTGGCAGTAACCGGATCCTCGATAAGGATAAAGAGTGAGCAGGTAAATAAATTCAAAATAAATAAGTTTAAAAAGATTGCATATGCCATCAACCCCAGTAAAGGTCTAGCTCTTTGATGGATTTGCTAAGGAAGCTAAATGAACTTGATCTATTGTTTTGAGCATGATTGATTTTATTGATTGCTAAGGAAGCTGACTTGCGAGGTATCAATTCCATTTACTCGACAGAGATAGAGAAAGATGCTATAATGCAGGGAGGTCATGTAATTTCAGCAAATAATTAGAAGAGCAATTGCAGCTCAAATGGAGTAGGATTTGGCCTCAAAACTATTAAGGTAAAATCCAATGCCAGATAATGTCTATATTGATGATACCAAAGGCCGAGTCAGCAATAGCCGACAAAAAAACCTATATTGGTTTTCCATAGTCCACAGCCATAGGATGAGTTCAATTTCAACATTGGATTGAATTCAACAAGTTGTAAGTTTACATCATTTAGGGCCAACTTATTTCACTAAAAGTATTTAAAAGTAGGGCTGTCAAATTAGCGAGCAAGGCTCGAATTATTTCTGATTTGAGCTTGACTCGACTCATTTGCACCCCTACTTCTGAACGCCCACAAACAGCAGACAATGGGTTATTTAATGGAGATCCAATCCTAAAGAAGTACACTGAATAAAACAAAGTTTCAGCTTCAAGTTCAGATTTCATTGGAGCCCTTACACTGCTGACTGGACATGGCAATTTAGTTACACAAAATAATTATGTTTTAATTTGATCATTCATTAGTTGGCTTAGGTGAAGCAGAGGCCTAAATTAATAGTTATCCTAAGCCAAAACCGTAAAACTCTATTAGATTGACAATGTGGCTGAAGTTCTACACTTTTTTCGCTACTATACATATTATGTAGTTTAGAATCCAAGAAATTCTAAATCATCTGTTGAACTGCAAAAGCAGAACATGCAAACAATATCATCCTAGCTATCAAGTTCTGTTTTTTTTGTTGGGAGGGGGGGGAGGGAATTAGGACAGCGCCAAAATACACAGATAACACATACGCGAGGCTTGAGTTCAGGACTTCTAGTTGGAAGCCATAATCCCAACCACCAAATCAAGGAGGGTTGTGTGAGACTAGCTATCAAGTTCATTACTATAATATCACTCAAATAAATAGTAGTGATATTACAGCAAATGAGATCATGAAAGCCCCAGCCCAGTCGCACCAAGGATCACTCATGCATCGGGACGCCTATCATGTATTGCCTGTCAACATTTCCCCAAAGAGTTGATGCGCATGCACACAAGTTCAAACTAGAAAAAATAAGAAGTATGATAATCCAGCGGGTCTATAAGAGTATAAAAACCATGCTGCCTATATATATTTAGCAAAATTCCATGAATAGTTCATGCAATGATGATTTTAGCCATTATATTTAAAATTAGTATGGATATCTTGAGGAGGCTGCCTGTAGTGTGAATCATAACACGGCATAAACAAAATTCAAGATAATAGATCGCTATAAAAAAAATGAAGAAGTAATATTCACCAATCTAAACGCCTCAATGTTGAACCATCACGGCCTAGGGCATATCATAACCAAACAGTTAAATACTTCATACCATTTCATCATCCATATTCCACTTGTTTGCAATCTTATTTGCTTCATGATGATGTATGCAAGCCAATTAGGCTTGCTTAGAAAGACAACATATCAAACTTGCAAACATATAAATTAGGTGAAACTTAGCAGCAGTTGAAAAGAACATATAGGTCAAGAAAACTGAATTTCATTAAGTATGTGAAGTGCTAATTAAGATTGTACCACTGAAATTCTATTCTTCAGGCAGATAATCAGATAAGGCCAGATTTTGTTCATTGCAGGTAGCAATCTGTTTTCATCAACATCTTCATCTTCGGCATCAATCTCATCTTCAAGTTCATTGAAAGAACATAACTGAATAGCTCTCCCTATTGTAGATTTGCTTTTTTTCTCATGCCTGTAAGCTTCCTCAACCTTTGCAAGACACATAGTAGTATCCTATAAAAAATACAAATTTAGAAATAAAATAATGCATAAATGAGTAATGAAAAAGCAAAAGAATGAAATTGACAAAATCATTCTTTTGCTTTAAATTTTGTCCCAAAAAAAAAAAATCAGAAAACACAAAATTAGTGATACTGACGTTTTGTTTATATCCTAATAAAATTTTAAACCAATGTTGCAAGCAAAACGATATCAGTTTGAATTTCAGCCATTCAAACTGCTAAAGATAAAACTATGCAAGCAAACTAATGTGATGTTCTCTTTGGGGCCAGATAGTTTGTAACTTCGGTTTGACTAAGAAGGTGAAGTTTGGAGTTAGTCATTAAATAAATAAATGAAGGGGATAAGGTCAGGACGTGGCTTTTCCATTTGCGGGTGTTATGTGAGGCAGTGTGGTTTTTTGGAATTATTAGAGGGTCTATTTTCCACAGTTTGAGAGGATGCGTGCAGCTTTTTTGGAAATTTAAATTAAAGAGGCGTTGTTGGTGTTGAAAATTTTAAATTAAATTGGTCATTAATTTGAACTTAAATTAAGCTTGTGCCAACCTTGTCAACTATCCTAACTTATGAAGAGTATATTTAGTGGCCCAAGAAATGTAATTTATAACTTTTTTGCTTCAATACAAATTTTCATTTTCAATTTTTAATCTTGTGAGTGTAGTTGAATATATGCTTCCTTTGAGTGCGGTACAAAAGTGACCATCAAATTTCGGATAGTCATTTCCTTATGCTAGCTTGAGTATTTGATTTTTGTTTCTTCGATAAATTATTTCCATGTTTTATTTAAACTACATAACTCGTTGTTGGCTTGTTAAATTCTTTTCATTTTAAGCAAACTATGACATGTTAGAAATCTAATTTGTAAAAAATAATTCAATTTGCTCACTAATTTTAATTATCTATAATTTCTTGTAGAAAAATTCTTAGATATTTTAGATCATTTCATTGTCAACTAATCTTAAACTCTCATATTACCCGTTCATTTTAAGAAAGCAAATTGAATTAATTGATTACTAGTGAGATGTGAATTTTCAATTTTCATTTGCTTGAAATATGCACCATATTAATTGCATTAGAAAAACTGATCTTGAGCCGTTCTATATAAAATTAGTATAAGAGCTTCAGGTTATGCTAACATGTCACCTAGAAGAGAAATTAATTATGACGATAATTTAATAAATTGTAAAATGGATGAAATTTTAAAATTTTTGCAAACTAAATTAAATGAATTATCGAACGAAGGAAATCATATCTACGATGACATTATTTGATTAAAATAAAATTTGATAATTTGAAAGCTAATAAAATCCATGAAAGTGAATCTCAAGTGAATTTCAATCATAATAATAAACCAATTCATTTGAATGTAAATTGCACATCAAAGTATTTAACAATGATGCTTATGGAAATCATAGACATCAAAATTTTGGCATAGCTGATTGCATAATAAGATAAGTTAAACTTGAACTATCTACTTATATGATAAATCTGATCTTAAAGCTTTTACTGATAGGTTAATGGATGTAGACAACTTTTTTGAATATCAAATAATGTCTGATTAACAACAAGTACAATTTACAAAGATGAAATAAACCAATCAAAGTAAAATTTTCTAGATGAGTATGGAGAGAACGAAAAAGTTAAAAAAAGGAACTTACTAAAAGCAAGGTTAAAATGAAGAATTCTAAAAGAAAAGTATTTGTCATCAAATATTAATTATTTACATGACTAATTTAATTCATTAAATAAATGGAAGAAATTTGTTAATGAATATAAGGATAAATTTAAAGAACTGTTGTTGTGTTCTAAGTTTACGTCTAGTTTGAGACATAATAACAAAAGAGATAGCTCATTACTATATTGCATCAATTAAGCATGCTTTCAATTTGCACTAGCCTTTAAATAAATGTAAAATTTCACGTCTGTGAGGGTTACCACATATTTAAAGAGTTCATCATTTGATTCAAGCAATTAGATTTAAAATGTAAAATTACATCTAAACGAAGTAACACAACAATTAATAAGGATTATAAGGAAAAACCAATTCATCTTTATTTGAGTCTAAGATTCCTGTAAAGCATACTTAAGATCAAACAAATTAGCCATTATTCTTCTGAGTGTCCTAATAAGAACTAGTATGCAAATGTGGTGGAAGCGGAAAATAAAATTAATGATTTCGACAAAGCTCATCGTTTTGACGAAGAGATTAGTGATTATAAGATTACTTTAGCCAATAATCCTTGAATGTCAAGGGTTTGATCATAGTTATTCTTTAAGATAAATCTCATTTGAAAAGATATAAAAAATTTTAAACATATTTTAAAAATTGTGAAGAAATTAAAAGCTTATAATTTATAGCAAAAAGTGCATGAAAGTTGTGCCTAAGTTGTCTTAGACCGCATGAACTTAAAATCTAAATCACATCCACAAATATATAAGATAGACTAGGTAGATAAATTTGGTATTTTGCGTCACAAAGGTGTCTCATTTTGATTCAATTTGCTACCTTTGTTGATAGGATATAACCTAATGTGTTACCCATGGATATTGCTCATGTATTTTGAGTAGACTTGTGAGAACCGGGTTTGCCGGTTCAACAGAAACAAGCGAAGAAGACGAGTCAAGAGGGCAAAACCATGGGCACAAGAGTAGCTGGTGGAACCGAATCGTGTGACTAAATAAGGAAACGCGTACGAATATGAAAAGAAGCAACTCCTCGTATGAGATATCCCATATTCGCTAACTCCTTTTGAACCGCAAGAATAGGGGACTGATTGAGAGGAAGAAAAAGGAGAAGGCAAAGAAAAGAAATAGAGAGAGGGTTCAGGAGATTGTTCTCTATCATGCATGTGTTTGATTAGCGGATCCCTTATCACACATCCTTAGCAACAGGTTGATTTACAGGTGTTATGTTAGGCATGAATTTGCTAAATTACTAGTAGGTCACTTTCTTGTAGGCTAAGTTGTTTGGATTTGTTTTAAAATTAAAATTCAAGATACAACAACAACATCAACATCAAGTCTTTGTCCCACTACGTGAGGTCGGCTACATGAATCCTTTTTCTCCATTGTGCCCAATTAAAAGTCAAATTTTCCTTTAAACCTAATAAAGAAACATCATTTCTAATATTTTCTAACAAAGTCTTTTTAGGTCTACCTCTACCTTTCTTAATATAAGTCAAATCTAATACCTCTACTTTCCTAACTGCGTCATCGGAAGGCCGTTGTTTTATGCGACCAAACCATCTAAGGCTACTCTCTCTAATCTTATCTTCCAATGGCGCTACTCCAACCTTTTCAGGTGTTGGAAATTTTAATTTAATTGGGTTTTAATTCGAACTTGAATTTAAACTGATCACCCGTAAAATTATCTACAAGCTTAAGTTATGAAGAGCCTATATATAGTGGTATGAGGCAAATGATGAACAATTTTTGCCTTGAATAAAATTTTTATTTTTTCAATCTTTAGTCTTGGAAGTGTAAGTTGGATAAGTGGTTTATTTAAATGCAGTACAAATTCAAGTATCTGATTGTAAGAGAAGTCATCGTCTTGACACTAATGCAAGGCCAAATATTATTGACTTGTTCAATGCTTTTCATCTAGATCAAAAGGTGATGATACTTTGGAAATCGTATCTGTAGAAATTAATTCAATTTGCTCATGATTTTTTTTCGAATTTATTGTTGAAATTCTAAGATATCTTCAAACATTTCATTATCAAATAGTCTTAAACTATAATATTGCTTGTTTTCATTTAAATTAAATGAGTTGTTGAATTGATTGACTATTAAATGATATTAAACTACATTCCTTCATATGAGAGCATATTATGCATCATATTAATTACATTTGAAAACCTACTGCGGAATTGTTCTGCATCACAAACCAAAAGCTACATGCATAAAATTTATAATACTGTGAACATACCAATGCACAAAGGTTTAGAAAAAGGTATTATCAAGCTCATATTTGCATCATACCTCCAAAATGTTGAGGGCAGCCAGACAAGTTGATTCCTCCTGTGAAGAAACCAAAGGAGTTGCGGCTTTTAAGCATGAGGATGCAAGAGATCCAATTGTCCTTCGATATCTTCTCATATCATTCAGCTTGAATAGTAGTTCTTCTAAGTGTTCTAACTGAAGCTGAATGCCCATGAAATTACCATTTTCTAATTCATCAAAAAATAATGATCTAAATAAGAAATTACTCATTGGGGATCATTAAATGTAAAAAAAACTTTCAGTATTGAGATATGTCGAGAAAAAAACAGGTCCACGACCATATATTAAGAAAAAGATGGTGCAAGCTAACAAATATTCAATCATAAGAAAGTCTATATACAAAAAATATAATATAATTTTTCACATGAATATCAAGAGTTTCAAATGCAAATAGAAAATAAGTTAAATTTAAGGAACGTGAAATGATAAAAAATACATATCAGCATGTATGATTAAGAGCCTCAGTAACTGATGTCATCATCATTATCTTGCTTTACAGCTTCCAGAAATAAAGGGGGTAGGGGGATCATTCAGCCTAGGTCACAGGAGATTTTTGAACATATTGATGTGAACATATTTATCTGATAATCAATATCCAGTTTCTCAGCAACTGGAGTAAGAGATGATGCAATATGAGAAATAAAATAGTAGATTTCTACAAAAAATAAATAAATGAGCCATATGGAAATCTCATTTAAAGGACAATGGCAATGAGTTCAAGTCCAACCACTAATATTTTCTCCTACTTTTGGTTTTATTTTGATAAGCTGTAGAGTCTATTTGCTCGTTTGTTGCCACCCAACTTATTCATCATCTAGCTCAAGGTGATGTGCTCACAGCTCACACGCAGGGCTTATAGCTCAAGGAGATGCGCTCACAGCTCACAATCAATATTAATTTTAGAAATACTAAGATTCTAAATTTAAAAATGTGTTAAGTAATAAATTTAAATTAAGTATAATTTATATATTTAAACAAAATTAATGAGAAGAAAAAATTATATTAAACGAATTTATTACAAAAGATTTGAGGTTAAAAATTTATAAAAAATAAGTTTAATTTATTTTCAGCTTTATGCTTTATTTTCTCAAATTCAAATATTAACGATAAAATTTAACTAGTAAAATCAAGACCAATTAAAAATATTATGTTATATGTTTGATCTAAGCAAATTAAAAAAAATGAAATTTAATCATGTCACTATGTTAAATAATAAATTAGAAGTTTTGAGGATTTATGATGATAACAGTAAATATTAAAATGATATAATAATAATAATAATATCATTTAGATGTGAGATGCTTGGAATTATAAAAAGGAAGAGTTTTTTCACATTTTTTAATTAATAAAAATGTTATTCAAAACTTAAATAGAGTTTTTTGATATAGTTATCGCTAAGGAAAGCGACATTCAAGTGGCAAACTTATTTTCCAAGAAAAATGGGTGATTATGTTTATATTTTATAGTAATGACTTTCACTCTTTTAAATTTAAAGTATTGATTGTTATGACCCCTTGTATGCATTGAGAAATATTTTTATTAATACCATATTTCTATTGCAAACATCTAAAGTTATTTTCTCTTCTTAGATATAAAATTCTCATATTGACATGAATGTCACTCAGCACTCTTGATATTTAAATCCTATATTCATGATATGATAAGAAAATGCAAGGATTTCAAGCAAATGCATGATGAGAAAAATGTAGTGAATATATTGCATATAAATGAATGCATGGAATTCATCCCTTTATAGTATTGGTTGAGATGCAATGTACCTGCCCATAAAGTAGAACTGTAGAAGGATAAGAATTACCAACCTTTACCGGTTTAAGTTGGAAAAGATTCCACAATAATATGTTTTTAATGGTATGATTTAGACGATGCTCCTATGATGGTTCTATTATAAAATAAAGAGGCATAAGGTTTAAGTTGGAAAAGATTCCACGACAATCTATTTTTAATGATATGATTTAGCCGATGCTCCTATGATGGTTCTATTATAAAATAAGGAGGCATAAGAACCCAAGTAATATGTGTTCATATAGGAGGCATAAAGGACTCAATAAATAAATTGTGCTATGCACATCAATGCATAATGACTTGAATGAATATTTGATTGAATTTGTGCATACATAAAAATGCATAAGGGCCAGACTAAGTGAATGTTAAAAACTTTGAAGGCATAAGGGCCAAGAGGGAATTGATGTGATATCTTATTAAATGTTGTTTATTTTTATTATCTTACGATGATACAAATGTTTGCGCAATTATGACATTTATATTGTGATTCATGGCATATATCATTAAGACTAAATTTTGTGTTGAGACACTATACTTGATAAAGCATAACATTTTATATGATTGAAAAACAATACTTAGTATTGCATATTTATGATTATTGTTGTGGAACTTTATTCAAACATAACATGTTTTATTATTCATGATGTGGTTATAGATTGACAAACATATTACTTTACTCTCCATGCATTAAATATTTTTGTAGATTTCATGCAATCTACTAAACGGTTGATGCTCACTCCTATTTTATCTCCATGTGTTATTGTTATTTTAGGGAAGAGTGAGGTGGGACTAGGTTGATTAGAGGTTGCAGGTTTCTGATTATATATATATATACATATACATATATGCTAGAATGCAATTTTTTTTTTTGATAGATAAAGAGAGAGGCATCATAATTGTTGATATGGACTCTTTTGATCATATAGTTTTGTGACATGAAATAAATGATGTCAATGATTTCCACCTTACCATTATTGTTAATAATGTATTACTAGTTAAATGTTATTATGAATAATGGACGGAAAAGAATAAAAACTTTCCAATTCCGCTAGATAGCTGCCAATATATTTCTATTAGAGAGAACTGATAATTTTACATGCTTTACATTCTATTCAACTTTACAGGCATTGACTATTGGAGGAGCATCCTTATATAGGATGTATCCCTCTTTTGCCGACATTTTTAATATGAGAAACATCAACAAGTATGCACACCTTAATTAATCTAAAATTTCTTGCATCAAAATAGCGATTATATTGTTGGCTCAAGAAAAACGGCACGAATGCATGAATCCCGCTTTGCAGCCGTAAGATTCCATTTCCCTTAAGTCAGATTGAAGTTAACCAGATTTCCCCTGAGGGTAATGTCAGGGTTTAAAGATCTGGGGTCCTTACTTCCTATGAGCGCAAGCCCTCATAGTTAATTACCTCTCTTACTATGTAAGAAATAACTCTCGATTAATGATGAATAAATTTTAGATAATTTTAGTCTCAATAGTAGAGGAAATGGAGGTAAATCCGATCAAAATCCTATGGTTCCGTCATCCCGGGTATACCGTAGTTTTCAGTCTACCAACAATAACAATCATTGGCCGTAGTATCAAGAGAATATGATTAGCAGCTATGGGTTGCCTCCTCTCAGGGATCCCGAGTAGACTGAAGTGGTTAAATGTGGGTTTTAATTTTGTTAGGTGTTTTGGGGTTTACATCTATTAGAATACCCAGAGATTTATTTAGTTTGGGATTTATGACTTCGTTTGGAAGTAACCCAGGAATTTGATTTGGAGCGGGTTTTATAGCTTCTTTATGAAGTAGCCTAGGGATTTAAATTTAAATTGAGATTTACAACTTTCGTGGAAAGTAAACCGGGTATTTAAATTTAGTTTGGGACTTAAGACTTTCGTAAAAAATAGCCCGAATATTTAATTTGGAATGGGGCTTATTACTCTATGTATGAGTTGCCCAATGATGGGTCTTATAACCTAACTCTACAGCAAAGCTGCCCATAGGTTTTAAATTATTTGGGAAGGACTTATGGCTTCCCTTAGGAAGTAGCCTGAAAAGCGGGTCTTACAACTTAATCCTTTTAGACTAAGATGTTCATAGGTTAAAGTTTGATTGTTTGGGGCTTAGGATCATTGTTATTTATTTAACAATTTTCCTAAAACATAGGACTTACGACTTTCGTAGAAAGTAGCCCGTTGGCGGGTCTTACAACCTACTCATATAGACTAGGATGCCCAAATAGCGGGTCTTACAACTTAGCCCTATAGGCTAAGATGCCTGAAGGCTTTAATTGCTTGGGTAGGAAATCCTACGATAAAAATTCCACATGCTTTGAATATAGGAATTATAATTATTGTACTTCAAAACATTATATAAAGATGAAATTCTTTCTTGAGGCTTTTGCCTTGATTTTTCAACAAAAGTTATTTCATATGATTAGATTTAGATAGGGACTTACGGCCTCAACTAAGGTAGCCTAATGATTTTTAATTGGATAGGTCTTAGTACTTCGTTAGAAGTTGCCTAACGATGAGTCTTACGACTTAGAACCTTAAGCTAAGTGGCCCGAGGTGTGAGTCTTATAACCAAGCCCTATAGACTAGGCTGCCCGGATGAGGGGTCTAAGGTTGTATTATCATCTAAACGTTTCCCTCAAAGGTCGGACTTACGACTTCTATTAGAAGTGGCCGAGGGTTTTAATTAGTAGTTAGGAGTTAGGTCAATTTTTACCCAAAACTTCCCCCTAGGGTCGGGCTTACGACTTTCCTACGAAATTTGTCGGGTAGTGGTTTGAGTTTGATTGTTTGTTTGTTGAGTTGACACCAGTGTTTTGTTTTAAGAGGTTTGACACTGAGTTAGTGTTCTAGTTGTTCTGTGCTCGTAGTCTTTTTCTACTACAGTAGTCCACTACTCTACCTGTTTTTCATCACAGTCGCTCATACTAGCTTTTTCGTATTTAACTTTTTTTGCTTTTCAGTATTTGGTTATACTTGCAGTAGTTTAGATTTACTAATTTCCCAGTATTGATTTAATTTATTTATGATGTACTAACTCTTCATGTGCTTGTTTGTAGGAGTTCATAGCCAGTATTTGCAGTAACCGGGGCTTGTAGTTTGCAGAGGAGTTCAGTTGATGTAAAGTTTTGAGAGTTTCAATTTGTATTGTTGGAGAGTTTGTGAGGATTGTGTTGAGAGCTTGTATATGTCTGATTAGTGGAAACATTATTTCTCTTCCTACATTTCTGCATTTTCTTTCAAAAATTAATTTAATTAATCAACTAACCAAAAATAAAAAAATTTCTAGTTAATTGTATTAATTTCGATCTTTAAAATTCTCATATTTTAAAACTCTCAAAATTTAAATTTCTCATATATATAAAAAAAGAATTCATTTAAAATGCTCTCGAACTTTGAAACTTTTGAATTTCAAAGGCTCTTAAAAGAAATATTTAGATTAGATGGACATGAGGAGAATGAGTGCTTGTAGGTTCTCCACTCCCACGCATTTGACGATATAGGAGACTTCGAAGATTCAATTAATCAATTATTTTGATTACTCTTAATCAAATTAATTTTAATTAAATCTTAATTAACTAAATTAGATAATTAATATTTAAAATCTAATTTTAATATTTCAATTAATTCAATATTCAAATTGAATTTGCCTCTGGATTTTGAGAAAATTTTGGCAACCTCCCGACGTCTTCTCCCCACCGAGGGAAAAGTCGGGACGGCACTGCTATAATTTCTTCCTACCTGGACCTAAAATTGACAGCGTAGGGTCTTCGATTTTAAACCATCTCAGCAGGATCTAAGATCGACTGCGTGAGGTCTTCAATTTGGAACCATCCCGGCCGGATCTAATATACGATCATACGATGGCCCGGGGTCTTCAAATTTAAAATCATCTGCCCGGATTAAAAATCAACGGCGCATGTCTTCAAATTTAAAACCATCCGCCCATATCTAAGATCACGGCGCGGGTCTTCTAATTTTTAAAATCATATCGACTGGACTTAAAGTCGACGAAGCGAGGCCTTTGCTTTGAAACCGAGATTTGCTTGCTTTATTAACGATAAAAACAAACTCCCATACATATTAATGTTATATTTTTACTTATTTAATTCAATATAATTTGTTGGAATAATCTTATGAATACACCAAGCACTTTGAATTATGGTCTCGGCTTACGGGCTTATTTTAATTACTAACCATTGTTTTATTTGAAGTGACTAGCATTTGGAGCAGATTATGAGATATACATGTGGGTATTTTCTCAACCAAAGTGGTAGGCATGAAAGGGAGACGAAGGAATAGCTTAGTTGTTTTTAATTACTTGAGATACTCACATAAATTGATTACACGACAAGGCAAAATCGTGAGAGAGCCACGAGTGGGATTGGTCTGACGTTAAGGCGTCGGACTATGGATTGGGGTTCGGCGCTCAAAGAGTTATGACAAACGAAGCTAGGGTAGACGTCGGACGTTGGCGGCGACTGGAACGTCGAGGTGGGTTGGTTCAAGCGTCTGGGTTGGGCGTATGGAGGTGAATCATACGAGGGAGAGGGTTCGGCGTCTGAGGTGAATCACACGAGGCAAAAAGGCGTAGGGGCACTGTGAGGAGGCGAAGAACAGAATTTAGAGAAACTGTGTGTGAGTCCTCTCTTTATTTTTTTCCCTTTTTATTGAGTTAATCTTTGAATGGCAGTTAGTTCAAAGGAAGAGCAACGACGTTTGGTGTGGTGGAGCCGAACTAAGAGCGTGAATAGATGCGCCTTTCAAAAGAAAAAATTTGATTATGCTATTTTTTATTTAAAATTCGTCAACATATATCCACAAAATCTGGATCTTGCTTAAGCCAATCGTAATGCATGCATTGCAGTTTAGAATTCTAGGTACAAGAAAATCAGATGTATGAACAAGAAAATGAGTTAAATAAATAATATTGACAAAGATTCACCTGGCATAGACATCGAAGTATTTTCTACCATATCTTGAGCAGAAGAAACATTCACCATGACATGTGCATTAAATGATTCAGCTACACCAGGCAACCTACAAGACTCAAATCTTGAAGCCTTTGAAATCTCATTCACTGCCTAAGCAAAAAGATAAAACAAACTTAATGAAAAAGGTGATGTAAATTGGAAAATAACACCACTATTAAACAATAAGAAATTCAAGATTTCTAAAAAAAATGAAAAATGCAATTCTGGGGAAATATAAGCAATAAACCGGTACCATATTCACCTTGAATAAAAAAGCATACATATTTGCATTTCAATGCTTTTCTTATATATCTTATCAGGTCAACATGACCATAGCTTCATGTTTGAACTTTTTTAAATATTTTCATTTTTCACAAGAGTCTGAAGGTAATCCTTCAGCTTAATTTGCATATGGATGTCTAACTTCAACCATTAACACTGCTGTCATTTGGCTGAGGGCAACAGCAGCATGGATTGATTCTAGAGAGTGTTGATATTTATGCCCAAACTCAAAAATCGCTAGAGAATAGCTCGAATTTTAATTCTGCTAAAAATAGAAATAGATTTATTTCGAAGATGGCTCATTGAAATTAGTTCCATTAAACTAAAAATTGGCTCAATCCATAATATGTACATATGCACACATGCATTCACACATAAATACAATATATATATATATATATATATATATATATATATATATATAGAGAGAGAGAGAGAGAGAGAGAGAGAGAGAGAGAGATTTCAAAATAGTCCTCCAACTATTCGTATGCGGTCAATTGAGTCCCAAAACATGACATTTCTCTCTATCGACTATATAAAATTTATCTCAATTTAGTCCTAGAGGGCCATTTGGTCTACTAGTGTTATTCTGCGTGGAATATGATTGTGTCGATCAATCGGATTTGGTTGTTGCCTCAGACCTCAATCAATTTTTCGTGCTCGTTGGGTGGTGTGGGGGATTTACCCCTGCTTGGGTTCCCTTTTTTTTTGTTCATACAACGCCCCTGCGTTGTGTACCCAAGCGCCACGACGCTGCGTTCCCAAACGTCCCTATGCTGATTAACAGAGAGCAGAGCGCCGCAGCACTCTAGATTTGACGCCACAGAGCTATGTGAAGCTGCAATATCATCAGACAGAGGCTTGAGCACCACAAAGATCAAAACTGGCGCCACTGCGCTTCAAGGCGGACTAGACAATTTTATTTCTTATTTTTTTTTTTTAAGGGTTGCGTCCCTTTGTGTTATTAACATGACTTTCTCTTGTATTATGAGTAGTTAGAACAAGAAAATTGTGAGACCGGTGTAAGAGAAGCATGGAGAGAGAGAGATAGAGGAGAGATATGTACTTATTTCTCCCCATTTCATAGTGGATTTCTTGATGTGGTGTGGCTCCGTAATTTTTTTCCCTATTTTGAGTTTTTCCACATTAAATCCTGGTGTCCTTTTACTTTCTGCTGCTTTTTACTTTCTTGTTTGTTTCATCGCAGTGTTTTGCTCCTCATGCCCAACAAGTAGAGGGATTAAACTGGTCGCAAACAAATAGTTGGGAGGCTATTTTGGGCTTTGACTATATTTATATATTAAATTTTAAATTTTATTTTATAAATATAATAGTTCTAGCTCAAATCAATTTGACAATTGACTTGAAATTGACCATTTTAAACTTAACTTGGAACTTGAGTCGAATCGAAACCTTTGATTTCTAATTGAGGTAAGCTAGCTCATAATTTACTCAATATCACCACTAAATCCAAATTCAAGTGGTAAAGTACAGTCTTTAAAATCCTTGAACACTTTTTAGACCAAAAGCAATTTTCAATATCCAAAAACCAAAAGGGACTACCAGTACATGGAACTCACATAAATGCATGATCTGGAGAAGGGTTGATTTACAGTCTTACTCCTATATTTGCAAAGAGCTTGTTCCCATCCCAAGACTCAAACCTAGCACCTCCAAAATATACCATATACAACTTAATCGTTGCTCCAGGCCTGCCCTCTTCATTTATTCCAAAAGCAAGTAGCTTAAATGCAATGCTAGAAAAGAGTAATGAAACATGGCAGTAATCATGAATCTTTTAAGTACCCTGTCAAATTTTTTTTGTAAAATTTGTTATATTAACTCAAAATGCTCAAATACAAGTTTTATGCGTTATCATGTTGTAGTTGCAGTAGTAATTAAAATGGCATAATCGATAAATCCATGAATGTACTCCCTCTACCAGAGACGGATGAAAATTAAAATGTAAACAGTACATATGAAAGGTATATAAGAGGCCAACCTTTAAAAATGGAACAGTTAGATGGGGATGCTGATGTCTACCAAGGATCTCCAACTCTAATGAAACAGCTCGCATCTACAAAAGATTGATGAATAATAAAACTAGTTAACAAAGGTTTTCAAGCAAAAACTAATCTAATTAAATTTTGAAAATGTGAAAGTTAGAAAAACATTATACCGGCTCCTCTAATAGTGGTAAAATTTCATCAGCAGCTCCAACATAGGAGAGCATTGCAGCTAGCACATTAGGAACATGAGGGTTGAGATCCAAATGACGTAATTGTCGACACAAGGAGTCAATAATATAATCTGCATTTGCTACAACTAAATGCCCTACCTATCACAGAAAAGAATGACTTAAGTCTCCGAAAATTTTAATTTTTCAATATTGATATTATGGTCATACTCACAGTAGAATAGCCAGTACTAGCCGAAAGAACATGCAATGCAGCATCGGATACACTTCTGATCAGGACATTGGAGCAAATAAGATTTTTAAGCAATAAATACAAGGTTGAGTGCATGAAACCACTGCTTATAAAATCTTTCCCAATAACCTTACTAAAGATGCCTATTCCTTCAATGATTACCTAAGTGTAGGAAATCTGGGTCAGTTCAATAATAAGAATGCAGCATAGAAACATTTTGTATAAGCACAATGATACCCACGGAAAGAATCAGAACTAACAAAAATTGGTTCAGAATTATTACCTGGTGGAGCATTCTAGAATCCCTGAAAACATACAAAGACAAATTTGTTTCTGAGTCATGTTCTAGCTGAGAAGAAGTTGGATCTGTAGGGAGTTCCCATACTTCAGATGACGTATACTCATGCAGAATACTCCCAACACAATGAATTATGTGTTCTCTGGCATCCTTCCCTTGATGAACTTTCCAGGATGACCATCTGGAAGTAGAAAGTCTATCACAAACAAATTCCTTTCTCAGTGCTTCTTCAACAGTTTTCTCAGTTTTAAATAATTTCAAACATGAACTAACTGAATGATCGGCCAATCCATATATTATTTCATTTAACACACAAACTGCAGTACTTGTTTGGCGGAGAAGCTGTCCTGAACTGCATTGGGAATACCAAGATTGCCAACCCTCTTTGTTATATCCTTTCATTCTGACTTCAGAAATGAGTTTTCTCACATGTTCCAAAAGATTATCAATGAGGCCCAACAAAGAAATGTCGCTTCGGTTCCCTACCAAAAGTTTAACATAAAAAGAATAGATCCAAGTCAAATTCAATGGAATTATTAGCAATTATCCTTTTCCAATTTCCATCAATATTTTATATAGCTGCATGAACACATTATGATCTATAAAGCACATACATGGATACGACGACATGGAAATAACACGATATGGTACATATGTAAAAAGTAAGCGTGACATGTCATGCAGTGGATATAATGTTATATTAATAAATTATTAATAATAAAAAAAATAATTATTAAATATTTTCTATTAAAGGAATCACATGGTCAATATATTATCACATGCACATACTTCTAAAAGAAATTGTATAAAAGAGGAAACTAACCAAAAGAACAAAGAATGACAAATTCAGCAGTGTTAACAATATATGCTAAAAAAATTAAGCTTCTAAATGATAGATTATTTCTATGTAATCCATATAATGGTGAATGAAACTCCTCATTGTAACCAAATTCCGTATTAATAATGAAAGTCTTAATTACAAATTCAGAATTACAACTTATTATTTGGATTCATAATGTAACATAACGCTAATCAAAATAAATAAAAAATAGAGTACTTTCATCTACCTATTGCATTACTCGAGAAAGTAGGATGGAACAATCAACTATTTAAGATATTAATATTATCTATCAAACTTAGAAGTCATAATTTCCATTATTTTTGTGTGAAAAAAAGATTTGGCTCAAAGTTCTAATTTTAATTAACTCAAAATGCAAGATAATTCTTCCAAATTTGCAAGAAAAGATTTTTTTTATCTTGGGAAAAATTAGTAATGTCGAGAAGGCTTTTTTTTTGGGTAAAATGAGACAATTGTATTACAAATTGATGATAAAAAATACCTTATAATTTAAGAATTAAGAAGTATCTTCATAAGAAATAAACATAGCTCACGATATGCTCATCCAAAAAATTTGTGAAACACCTTTTTTTTTTCACAAGAGTCTCTTGCATGTCAATGTGTATTCGGACCGTGTCAACCCATGTCTGAGTCTCATCAGAACCTAATTTTATTTTGAAATGCTTTACACAATTTTGAAAGTGTTGGTCGAGTCCATGTCTAATAATTGTAACAATTGTCCAAAATGGACACGGAAGACATTTAGAAGTGTACTTGCTTCACGGATTATGATTAGTTAAATGGACATATTTTACTGTTTCAAGAAAAGGAAAACCAAAATAAAAAACCACATTGGCAAAGGTAAGTTTATATATAACAATTATACCTGTCATTACTGATAGACCAGCGAGTCTAAGAATTCCGGCAAGAGCCAGGTACAATTTCTGACTCCCAACATTTAAGAACCAAGGAGGCATGCGAGGAAACTCATACTCACTGGGCATGTTCTCTGAAAGACTTCCCATGGACAACTCAGAGACAAGTGGCAAAACATCACCATTAATAACATAGCTTGCATCTCTAGAAAGAGAGCTAGCCTTCAGCTCAGCAACTGAGAGTAGGTAACCAACTGAGAGTGGTTTAGATGAAATTAGCCTATCAATGGAGCCACCGAACTGTGAATTGTGTCCAAAAGAAAGCATAAAAAAATCCAGGAAACGAGCTGCCTTCATCTGCGAGTCAAATTATAAGATATTAAGAATAGTTTACTTGAGATGCCAATATACCATGCTAAAAAATAACTAAAATTTATATCCAACCGTTAACTGTTAATAACTAACTTTCTAGTTACTTAAAGTGAAAGTAATAAACACAAATAAAAAAAACTGCAAACCAAGCTATATATACCATATACTATAAATTATTAATATTGAAATTAATACATGTTACATAATTATAATGAAATCAATCAAATCATATTGAATCATAATTATTATACATTAATATCCTAACTAATTATTGATTAGTAAATTATTAAATTAATATAATACAATTTTTAATTTAAATTTTTTATTGATTAAGTAGATTAATTAAAGATGAGCAAAATAAGAAAAGATGATAGATTAATATTAATATTAACTATTAAAGTTAATTTATTTACATCTAATTTATATGATTATAGATTAATATTAATCATTAATTAGAGGACACTTTTATTATTATCCAATCAGCTGTTTTTCTCAAATAATTTGATAAAGAAAGAAAAGGCAAAAATAAAAAAGCTGATAGGGACGATATTCTTCTTTTCCATTGCCGATCTATTTCTATAATTTCTCCTCTTTGTTGGTTTGCTTTTCCTCGTACCCATTCCTTCTGGTTTTGCATGCCCTCGTCGCATTTCTTCGTTGTGCTTCAACTTTGCATGCTTTGCGTGAAGTATCATTTTGAAAGAGTCAAAAAGCTTCTTCGCCTCCTTCGATGACGTCGAATCATAAGTCTCAACAGGAGCTTGCAACGAAGGTAACGATCTTTCCGCCTTTCGCGTGCTTCTTCACCTAAATCTGATGATCCCATCGGATTTATTAAATCCGCTAAAATTCCAGATTTGGTAAATCAGGGATTTACCATGAAAATGAGGAAAACGTTGTGAAGTACCGCTTAGATTTACCATGAGATTTCATATTGCGTTTTTTGGCGTTTGGCAGGATTTAGCTCAAATCCTAGATAAATCCGACCTAAATCTTGCATCCAAACAGGCCCTATAGATGATTTCAATTGCAGCAAAATAATTTATTGAGAAGAATGATCATCACTAGGAAGAATAATGATATCTCATTTTGTAGAAGGACAAATAAAACAACCAAAATGATCTCTAACTACTTATAGTGGCCAATTTAGTCCTAGAATATACATCTACTTGAAATTTTCATAAAATCTAATTTTTTTACTTACCTTGTTTTCTCGTGTACAACAACTCACTCGTATGCAACAGGAATTGATTGAGAATTGTGAAAGTTGCAGAGTGAGATAATTTTTATAATAAATAATTCAATTTATTTTTTTTATCTTAATTCTATCATAATGAAATATATTGATTTTAATTTTTTGTGTTTCAAAATATTGAAGTTTTCATTATTTTATTGATTTTATTGAAATTATTTTTTGAAGAAAGAATAAAATATATGTTTCAATTGTTCAATTCTTTTCCTCAATATAATATAGAAAATTAAAATTGAAGAAAAACTAAATAATATATAGTTAAGACTACCCGTTAATAGTATAAAATTAGATATTGTAAAAATTTCAAGACATATATATATACCCCATTTTTAACATCATCCATTAACGTCAACTTCCATTATTTTTGATGGAGAAACTATTTTGGCACCTATTTACAGAGTCCAAGGACTAAATTAAATACTTTATATAAAAAAATGAATAGTGGCGAAACCATTTTGATTTTTCTCAAAGATGATATCTCATTTGTGCTGTTAAAAAATAAGGATATCTCCTTTTTAAGACTATAGGAGATCTAAAAAGGAGATGACAAGAATAAATGGTACATGCTCATCTTTAACTGAAAAAGGATATTTAGTAAGGCTTTTTTTTTGCAGAAACAAAATAAAAGGGACTAAAAAGGCGACAAGGAATTACTTGCTAAAAATAAAATATTATTTTTCATCCAACAGAAAAATACACATTATCACCAACATCATATTAAATGGTATTCATATACTTACAGGTGAGCAGAAAATGTGGTCAACTACAAGCTCTGGGCCTGCATAATACATTAATGCAAGCAATCTCCGTGCATGTGAGAGTGCAGCTACTTCTTCACTTCTTAGAACCATTTTTGGAAGTCTTTCTAATAAGCTGTTGATGATTATAACTTAGTAAATGATCTAACCCTATGTTTCTCTTAATGAGAATAAATCCCACTCACCTCGTAAATAATTCAGAAAAGTCAATTTCTCTTAAAATTTTCTTGCCAGAAATGAAGAGAGAATTGAGGGAATCTTCGGCCGCACTAGACACAACATCCGAATCATCACAAACAAGAACACACAAACACTCCTGCATTTTTCATAGAAAAGAAAAATAAGTATTGAAGTTAACTTTTGGTAAGCACTATCACATAAAACAAAGCTACTAGTGATGGCTGCTCTGTGCTTATAAAAGTAAATCAAATAGAAAAAAAGGAAGGCAATCTTGAATATATTCTCTCAGCCTACCTACAAGACAACCTCCCTTTCCCCGACTGTCCACCATACAGTCACACCAATCCCACTTTTTGTGTGTGCAATGTGTAGTTGAGAAAGGGATTAGGGCTTGTGAAAACGTAAGGTAAAAGACAACAGAATCAATAGAGTTCAAATATGGACAAGATGACAATACGTTTGTTAAAGCAAAAGAATTATTCCTGTAATCACATGTCCAAGCAGAGGGTTTTAAGTGATGTTTTATTAGTTATACTAAACCTTATTATACATCAGTGATTACAAATTTTTAATTATGCAGAAGGAATAACTACGACCCTCGAAAGATGGGTTCTACATTAATCAATTTCATAATATAAAAAACAGATAAAATAAGTACAGTGCTAAAAATGTATTGGATGTAGCATAAAAAATGCTAAATTCAAATATATAAAAAACCAACAGACACTAGTGCAGTATTGTCCAAGTTATAATAAACAACCATCTCTAATCAACAAATGAAAATGAAGAAATTCAGGCTTCATTTGGGTTCAACATTTTACCTACTTCTGCTTTCTGAAAAAAGAAAAAAAAATTAACCTGTTTGGGTTCTGGGTGGGTGCAATAACAAGTCTGAAAGAAGCTGCGTTTGAAGCCAGAGGAATCCAACCCTGAGAGCATTATCACATTTCTGGTTCATTTACTGCATTCCTCCGATCCTAAAATGATGTAGAACGACATGGCAAGCTAGAGATGGGGACATTGATTTGAGAAGTTAAAAGACTTGCCAACATAGAAATTTTAATTAAGGGATTTGAATTAACTCCTAATTAAAATTCAAAAGAGCATGATTTGAGGGGGGTTCCAAAAATAACTTATCTTATTTTAGGAAGAAATTTCAGATTCAAAATAGATTGGAATCTGAAATTAAGAACCTCCAAGTTAAGAAAGAGGATTTGAATTTTGGAGGCAACGGAAAGGGAGATTTGAATTTGAATCTTCTCCAAATAAAGGAGAGAGGTAGAGGTGGGCCGGCCCCCTTGATGGGGGTTGATTGGGGTGAATTGATTGTCTTCTTTAATGGGAATCTCAAATTAAGAAAGGAATTCAAGGACTATCAAAATTTAAAATTCAAATTAAATTCATGTGAGGGAAAGCCTTCTTAATTAATTCAAAATATGAGGGATAATTTGAATTTCAAATCAATTTTGAAATTTGAAATTCAAATTTTAGGGTTTCCCAAAATACCTTGAATTAAATTAAGAAAGGACTAATGGGTCCATGGGAAATAGAATCCAAGGGGAATGGGGGGTTTGACCGGCCGCAAGGATAGGGGAAATTGGCCGGCGGCTACAGGAGGGGGGTTTGGTGGGTTGGCCTGCGGTTTGAGAAGGTGTTTGGGCCGGCGGTCGGGTGTCTTTTGGCCTAGGGTTTGGGTGTAGTTTTCAGCCAAGAGGAGAAAGAGAGATGGGGAGGTGGTGGCTAGGGTTGAAGATGGAGAGGGGTCTGTTAAGGGTTAGCCACAAGGTGACCGGTGGCTTGGAGGGGGAAGGAGGAGGTGGTGGTTAAGAAAAACAAGGAGAAGAAGATAAACCACGAGCCCGGACGTTTCCTGCGGCTGATGGGTAATATTTATCCTCACCTAGGGGACTTCAAACCACGAGCCCGAACATTTTTTGCGGCTGGTGGGTGGTATGTTGCCCTCACCTAGGGACTTTCACTCTCCTAAGAACTCACATAGCAATAAAGAACAAAGTGCAATTCTTTTCATTAATCATCCATTAACCTCAAATGATGAGGAGGAGGCCATAAATAGCCAACATACAATGAAAAAAAAATAAAAAATAAAAATGCATAAATAATTCAAAATACAAATAATAACTCAAAATATGGACGATCATGGTCGTCGATCTTCGACTCCTATGATAAACTTTCATGGTCTGATGTCCTCATCATAAAACATATAATATAATGTCCCGTCCCTTCTATTATAATTGTTTTTTACATACTTTAAATGCATGCATAGTGATGACAACAGAAGGAAAGGGGCTCATAAATCGGCTATAACTAGTATCCAATTCACATAGGAGGGAGAGGAGGGACAGGCTTTTGGGGATAATAAAAAAATGGTTGAAATTGATGGGGAATAGGATGACATTGACGACGTACTAGCAATGGAAGTGTTGTCAAGAGTTGACGCACAAAATATTATAATGAAGGATAAGACATCAAGGGAGTAGAATTTGTTCAAGGTACAACAACATCAAGTCTTTATTCCACTGTGTGGGGTTGGCTACATGAAATTCTTTTTTTTCATTGTGTTCTGTTAAGAGTCAAATTTTCATTTAAATTTAATAAAAAAATGTAATTTATAATATTTATATGCAAAATCATTCAAGGTAAATCATGAATTTTCCGATTGATGGGTAATCACCTTCATCACATTCTTAATCTCATTCCTAAAGATGGGTAATCAGAATTTTGCAGCTTTTATTCTGCATATAATATTAATGATGCACTATACTCTATTTACATATTTGCATGATATTTATTCATGTTGACCTGTAAGAAACGAACCGAACCCAACCTACACACTCGATTGACACCTCACCCGGCTTGCACGACACAACCGCTCAGCCCACGAAAGAAACCACCCACGTCGTTCCCACGATCGCACAACCGCTCAACTCACGGCACAAAACATTTGCTCGATCCCATTGTTCATTCTCACGCTCACAGAATCGGACGAAAATCACAAGCAAGGTAAGGGAGAAAGCAGAAAGTTACCTTTTGGTCTCTCGATCATCTCCGTCTCTTCCCGTCGCCGGCCAACTCCCGCTCCGACGCCTCCGACCCGAACCCCGCCGACTCCTCTGCACAGCGAGGTTGACCCGTGCCCTAGCCATCCTCAAATCTTCCCGTCGCCGGCTTACACCCGCATCTCCGGCCGAAACAAGTCTCCTGCACTCGTCGGACCTGAAGCCTGCCGACCTCCTGCTCCCGCCGATCAGCGCCCGAGCCCGCCTCCTTGGTCTCTGTTTCCTTGTCCGATCAGGACCTTCCCGATTCTTCCCTTCTGTGCTATTCCTAATATATTTTAATAAATATATATTAATATAATAATAGTATAGTATATTATATAATAATATATATATCATATATATTTATAATATATATTAAATATGATATATGTATAAATTATATTAATATTATGATATACTATATGTAAGTTATTATATATTATAATATAAATAATAAAATAAAAGAAGAGAGGAGAGAGTGGAGAGAAATAATTTCAAACAGGTGGGAAAAATTTGAAGGAATTCCCGGGTTGATTACCGATCCTCGAAGCCCTTGGCTGTCGAGTTTAATCCGGTCGAGGGAGCGCAGATCACCGATGGACTCGTCGCTTCCTCAAATCTCCTCTGCCTTGATCGCTCGGCGGATCGAGCCATTCTTAACTTACCTCCGCATCTGGGAGGGGAGCCGGAGCTGCCGGATTTGAGGGGACCTAAAAGTTTTTTTTTTACATTTAATTTAAATTAATTTGTTTAATTAGCAGGTCGATCGCGCCACTTTAGAAGACTTGAAGATCTTTTATGGGATTCGATTCGTCTCCCAAATCTCTAAGCCATTGATTCACCTAGGTCCAGCGAGCCACTCTTTACCCTCCCGGCAGTCGAGGAGGGACACCGGGAGGCTGCCGGAAATTTTGTCTAAAAATAATTTAGAGTCTAGCCAATTTTTGGAAGATTGGCAAATGCTAAATGCTCAATTTAATTTCGAAAATATTATAATATTTTAAATTATTTGAGAAAATTAAAAAAGGATTTCCAAGCGAGCATCGACAATCAACTACAATCTGCATCCAATCATTGGCAGCAAATCATCGACAACCAATCATCTACAACTGGCGATCATCAAAGCTTCTGAAGACCAAATCTCCTCGCCGTCGATTTGATCCGGCCGAGTCGAGCATTCTCTTACCTCCCGGCATCGGGGAGGGGACGCCGGGAGGCTGCCAAAATTTTCTTAAAAATTCTGGACTTAGAAAAATTTTAGATTTAATTGAAATTTTTGAAGGATTGAAAAATATTCAATTAATTAGTCTAATACAACATCAACTAATGATTTGGTTAATAAAGTTGCTAATACATTTCAAGCTCTTGATCAATATCACTATGTTTTAAAGCCAAACTTCATATTTGTTAGAACTATCAAGCAATAAAAAATTGACTTTAAATCTAAATTTTAGATAATTCTACAAATCACCTATGAGAAGGAATAGGAATTAGTGCCCACATCAACTAGCTTGCAAGCAAGAACAAAATACTTATATCAAATAAATCAGTCAATTTATGGGAGAAAATAGGAGAACTTATAACAAGCAAAGTAATCCTCCTACGAATACTAACATGATCTCCTAATACCTATTGAACAAGCATTCCCTGTAAGCTAAGTTGAGCGGGATAATAACGACAAAGAGATATCTTTTATGTGTTACAAATGAAGCATAATTTAGAGTAATGCCACCAGATCCGCAACATGTGTATAAGCGGACAGAAGGCATTCGTAGGCCCTTAAATGAAATTCCGGACCATTGTTAAATAAAATCACTTGATTAAATGGGTCATATTTAAATATTTCAAAATGTCCCTTATGTATTAAATATGATCCCTTAAACTAAATATATCTCTGCATGTGCTCCGGTCAATACATTGAAGTTACAAACATCAATGACCGAGAATGTTGCGCAGGGTCAAATATTATAACCCGCATGTGCTCCAATCGTCACATTTAAGTTTCAAACACAACGATTCGAGAATGTTGCGCGGGTCTAAATTCAAGTTTCATCCTCCTCCACGAAAGGACTGGAGT